AGAAAAAAAGATAATTTAAAAAACCACACACACATTCCAGATCTACTGATAGAGAGTCACTGATGTCATTTTAACCAACGCAGAGGCAATACTGTATGTACATACCCTGTCAGACCAAACTCGGGGTAATACAATTATAACATAGCTGGTCACACAGAGGTGCATACATCGTGATCCTTTTAATGTTTGCAGAGAGACAATGTGTAACGAGGACAACCTCGGCGACAACGCTCCCCTGATGTTATTTATCTATGTATGTGTTCTGTATGGTTATGCTTCTGGTACCCATTGTTTCTCATGTTGATTTTACAAAACAGAGTTTTATGTCACAAAGCCACTGTCTTTTGTAAATAAATCAAATGTGAGATATATTAAAAAGATTTAAAATATGGCTGCGGCTGGTCACGTTTTTTTATTTATCATCACTCGATGCATACATCAGCTATCATTGGTGGCAAGTAACATGTACTCACTGGCAAATGCTCATTAACATGCATCTCTAATGAGCCAAGCACACGGCAGCAACTTAATGCATTTATGCATGTAGACATAGTCAAGATGACGTGCTGAAGTTCAAACTGAAGCGATTTAGGTGACTTGGTTGTTGTTGCCAGGCTGGTTTGAGTGTTTCAGAAACTGCTGGCCTGTCGTCTTTTTCTCACACAACCATCTCTAGGGTTTACAGAGAATGGTCAGGAAAAGAGAAAATATCCAGTGAGTGGCAGTTTTCTGGGAGAAAATGCCTTGTTGATGCCAGAGGTCAGAGGAGAATGGTCAGACTGCTTTGAGGTGACAGTAAAGCAACAGTAGCTCAACTAACCACTCGTTGCAACTGAGGTATGCAGAAATTTGCATACAGCATGTCTTACCTAGAAGCAGATGGGTTACAGCAGCAGAAAACCACACTGGGTGCCACTCATGTCAGCTAAGAACAGGAAACTGAGGCTACAATTCACACATAATGGAAGCATCATTCATAGCAACTCTCATCACTATTAATTTATAGTGAATGTTCTTACAAAAATCTCATTCACTAATTTTAGTTAGTGTTTCATTGCTGAATTTTACATAGCAGTATTATTATTTTTAATTAGACTACGTTCTCCAGCATTAATAATACCAATTAAAAGAATGGGGCAGTAAAAGTCTTGGGTTTCATTGCAACATAGAAACATTAAGATAACTGCTTTTGAATCCTGAAATGTACTTGCAAGTTTGTTGCAGTGCAAATGTTGAGTTGGGTTTCTTTGATCACTTTTTTTGTCTAGTTTGATGTTCACACTTGTAAATGAGGTCATTCTTACACATTTAAAGTATTACTTCCTTTATTTCAATGCATTAGTGGTGAAGACACATGCTATTATGCTATTTTAACATGTATTTCACTTAATACAGGAAGTATAGAGTTCAAGGAAACAGAAACTTTGCAAGTAATGTTGGTCACATCCCTTTTATTTAATATGCACTTCATTCATGTAGAGTAGATTAAAAAAAACGTTTACTCCAATGTGTATCTAAGGACAAATCATCACTTGCTGTCTTATGAGTGTTTCATCCTTTGTTAATATAGGTAAGTCTACAGTGTAATATCCATCCATATTTTACTTGTTTAACAGGCTATTTTCTTTACATCTCAGTTACTGCTTGTTTCGCCAACCTTACACAAGTATTTCCAAGTTGCAGACACAAGAAAGTGTGAGTACCCTTGATTTTAATCTTTTATGTGCAACCACCTTTTCAGCATCTTCTTTTAAACAAGAAGCAGAGAAACAGAATAACCCAGCAAAAAATGAAGCCCACCAAACTCTAAATCAAAAAGAGTGTGGCCTTTTTCCCAATACTTCAGGCGTAGATCATATCAAAAGCTATGAAGCTGACATGAGGTCAGGATACTGTGACCTCTCAGTATCCTCCTCTTGGGGTTTCCACGAATAGACAAAGGGTGTCCACCAGCCAGCAGCACGCTGCTTATGTCTGTAGGTCATGTGCCATCGTCTTGCTGCTGCTATCCTCAGATGAACCACTCAGTCCCAATGACACTATGAGAAAGAGGAGCCATTGCTACTTCCATATCAGTGAACCACATCTGCCAACTACGCACACATGTCCTCTCTTCCTCATTGCCCATGAAAAGCCTTCAAGCTGCCCCAAAGGGATTTGTTCGGTGAACATTTAGCCTTCCCGGAATCTGGCATTGGGCGACTGCGTCTAGTGGCATGTACGGGTATAGATGGTTGTTTGCAATAGTGAGTAATAAAATGAAAATGATAAAACCACAGACATGGTGCAAGATGAAGAATTCTATATGGACTATAGTCCCAAACATTTTGATATACTGCATGCATTTTTGCACGTTTAATTTAAGATACATTTGAAATAAAGTGAATCTTAGACCTTTGCACTGTTTTTTTTTAAACTCATACCTTTGTCCAGCTTCTCTTTTAATGTGTTGTTTTGCCATCTTAATAAATCCTACTAATGTGACTCTTTACTGCGATATAAAGGATACTAACTGTTCCCAGGGGGCAAATTAAACAAGGACTTAGAAGTTACTGAGTAAAACCGAGCAAAGATCTCAGATACTAAATGTTAATACCTTTAATATTGTGTATTGCCTTCAGCTGAGCCTTAAAAGCTCATCATGAATTATCCTACTCTTACATCTCTAAACTTGTTTTTATTTCCTTTTGTTTAATGTTCTTGTAATTTGCATTTAAAAGCCTTATTATTATTATGTATTAATGCATGATGTAAATGACTTTAAATTGTCTTTGTGTAAGTAAACTTTCTTTTACAGGAAACGTACCAAAGTTTTTTCACAGAAATTACTTTTGATTTGTCACAGCCTCCACTCCAGCGCTTACAGGCATCACAGTGAAACTTTGAACATTTTATTAGTCCCAACTGCGTTTCGCCAGTTGAACTGTCTGCTTCTCTAAAACTGTTGATTTGACCGAGAAAGGATTGAAGGATACTGTTGTCCTCTCATCCCTTATTAGATACCAGAGACAAAGCATCGCAGGTACCAATTAGCGTACAGAATAAGAAATCTAGGATTAAAAAAAAGAATCATAAATGTCTAAATCTAAGAAAGGCACATTTACGAGTAATTTGAAGGGTCTGAACAGGGATGAACAGACTGTACAGGGAATGTTACAATCCATAAATATGTAAAAAAAAAAAAAAAAAAAAGTGGGGCATTAAAAGAAAAAGTCTACACCAGCGTCAAGAAGCAAAACACACATTGCAGTTTAATTAAAATAGGCATAGATGACACAAGTGTTACTTCACCAGACCCCAAAGCTGGCTTCAGGCATCAGCTAATTACATGGCTGCTTGGGGCCCCACAGCCACCAGGGGGCCCATAAAAGAAACAAAATAAAAACTAGGAAGTCTCTCCAGGTTCCTGTGTGTGTGTGTTTTGTCATTATTTTCTATTACACATGTATTACTTGTATTACACACTACATTTGAACAAGTTCAAGCCTTTGTGTGTTTCAGTGCCAATACTAAAAATGCAACAATCATTTTCAAACAGGAAACTTCTTGCATGCTTGGTTGTTTCATTTTTCTCAACTTAGTATTTGTGTATTTTGATACATTTAAGAACTTATCTTGCATATTTTGTCAGTGTGTCACTTTTACGTGCACGGCATTTCAACAGCTTCTGGTGATAGCTTTAAATGATCAGGTTCATCAGGTTTTTGACATGTGAGATTTGGACAATCTTTTGAATATGCAATGAGCAGAAAAGGAGATGGGGACTACACACACATAAAGGACAAAACAGCTCAGGACTGGTTATGACTGCAAGTGCATATTGTCATTTGGCACAGGCACGCAGAGACTCTCTAAGGGGCAGTGGTAAAAATGTGGTTTGGTTTACTGCTTATTTTTACCCTAAGGTCACATCACTGGGGCCAACCAGAGCAGCACTTAGGGGACATCTGGACCATTAAAATGTCTCTGGTGTAAAATCAGTTTAGAAACTAAGCATAGTATTGTTCCAATTGTGCAATAATGCATAGACCTGTAAATAAAGTTATAGAGGCATCCCTGCAGCCTTGTGGTCTTCAGTGCACACAGTGTGGTAGCATGAGTCCCAGCCTGAATTATCTTTGTTATACAGGATTCCCCTTTACCTGTCTCATGTTAGAGTATAAGGTAAAGGCCAGAGTTACTAAAGACTTGCATTTCCAATTGAGCTTTTTTTTTTCAATTTTACTTTGAGTGTTTGTTTTCAATTCAATTCAGCTTAGTTTCATTTATTTTCACAGTCATGCACACATTACAATGTACACAAATCTCAATAGACGCATTCCCCAAATATTCGTTTAGTTAATTATAATAGCTTTGGTAAATACTCAAGAATAAACATATGAAGGCATCCCAAATGTTCGGGGGATACACATGGAGTAGGGCTGGGTTTCAATTATCGATTTTCTTATTAACACATAGACGTAAACACAAAGCGCAGACTCGACACCTCATAGATTTTGATGGTGCAGGTTTTGTCGCTCTCCGACCAAAATGCACTGAACCAGCAGTAAAAGAAGATCAAACTACGCTTTAAATTTGATAAATATGGTCATTAATTACTCTTATTTTTGCTGTTTTGCTTCCATCAGGATAAAATCACACTTCCTGCACAGCTCTCTCTCTCTGTCAGTGTAGTTCAAGAATAGTTTCCCATCTTAAATCTCAGTTTTCTGCATAATTTTCTTGCTTATTGCTTATTTCTGCTGTTTAATACCGAAGAAATTACTTTTAAGCTGTTTATCTGACGCAAAATTTCAATCGAAATCCAATCGAATCGGTACCTTGTGAATCGGAATCTAATCGATTATATAAATCAGTGACGATACCAGCCCTATTATCGTGCAAAAATGTAGATATTTGCAAATGTGTTGAGTCCACGATATATGACTGTTTCTAGGACCCAGAGAAAAGCAGGCACACTTCAGGCCCCTGCAGTCAGAGCGGCGCATCTGGAAGAGAGCTGGCCGGCTGGGGAGGTGGAGGACGGGGAGAGAAGAGGAAGGAGGCTCCGGGAGCAAGCGAGACAAAAAGGGTCAGGCCTGGGACTTGGGAAAACCGGGTAATGACACACAGTGACTCACGCATGTAAATTTGTTTAACCCGCCACGAGCAACCACGCAGGAAGGGTAACCTTTATGTGAACAAAAAACGTGAACGACCGGAAGGCGCTCGATGGAAATGGGGAAATAGCGATTTAGGGTTCGCTTTTTGCAGATGTGCTGATTGGACGTCGAGATGTGAACTTGACCGGTTTTGGAGCACGGAACCAGCATCGCGGCTTCTCAAAGCTGTGGCCTCATTAAAGGAAATAACGGGGGGGTTATCCTTCAGTGTCCGTGGCCTGTAAAAGATCCACAATCCCCTGGGTCATATTGCAGACTTCCCCTGCTGTAAAAAGACGTCTAAAACTTTGCAATTTTTAACGCATAGCCGGTTGAATAATATATGCACATCAGTCGATCGTAGTATGGTGTAAGCGTGTGGCCTGATTGCAGGCTGATGGCATGGAAATGCGGTGACACTGAACGCCTGTGTGGCCTTATAATAAATTATTTTTTAACACGTTCTGGTTGTTGCCTACATTTATTTTCCACGAGCGTGGACGTAAATCCGGCAGTGTGTTTTACATACAGCATGTTTTAAATAAATCACAACCGAGTGTCATCAGTCTCATTTTAGCCCTTAGATTCAACACATCCTGTACGAATATAGGTTGTTGTTGTTTTTTTGTTGTTGTTGTAAATTTCCACGAGTGCAAAACAGTGTAACTGTGGCTTCGCTTTGCGCGTTAGGCAGACCGCTCGAGTAACTTTAACCCAGACTCTCACGATGGAAATGAAATATTAATGAATTTTGAAAAATGTCCCCACAAAAATACAAGTATTTTTGCGCTTAGTTTGGAGCATCGCGCTCTTTATTTTCAGGCTGCACGATGCACCCAGTTCATGTCGTCTACTGCACAACACACATTCATGTGGTGTAAAGGGGCCTGTAGGATATAGTGGCCATACAGTATCTATAGAAGCCTGTGAGGGTCCTATAGCTACATGACGTGTACTCAGCAAAGAGAAAGCTGATGCTCAGGGTAAAACAACTTCATTTTAGAGAAGATACATAAAATATGTCACTGGATTATCTAGTCTGCATGAAACTAAAGAATCAACACATTAAAGACAAACTTGCTGAACATATCTTACCATTGCTTTTCTTCTTTTAACTTCCAGGAGAGCAGGAAGAAGAGGGGATCATCCGTCATTGCTTTATTTTCTTTTAAACTTTTCAACTTCCTTTTAACCTACACTACCCATCATCAGACATTAGCCATAAGCTCATAAGACTCAATGATGCCGTCCAACACTCTCACCAACACCACCACCACTGCTGATTCACCTGGAAATCCAATGGTAAGAAACACGTGCGTGACAACAACAAAAAATGCGTCACTTGACACGTTGCGGAACTTAACTCATGATCTGGTGATTTTAAAAAGATGTCGGGAGGGTTTCTGAATCACTTGACTTGAGCTCAAGATTGAATTGGATTTGCTCGTCCATCACTGAAAAGTGCTTCTTTTAATGTCTTCGGAAGCACTGATTTAAAAAGACATTATTCACCCCTGAGCTCGTCCTGCAGTGATATAGCATGCACTGCCTGTTTGTATTTTCATATGATCTTGGCACGGAGTATGTGTACATGAATTGTATTTTTTATGACCGTGCTGTTACACAGATAGAGCCTTAAAAATGAAAGGAAGTGGATTGGATTGATTTCTATAGTCACTTCAGGCCAAAACCAATTCAAATCTTCCTCAATTTTACGATTCCCGTTAATCATTAACCCACACTCACTAATCTGTGCAGTCCAAAGAATTGCTAGAGCAGACCTCATTGCAATGAATTCCTCTATTCAGTGAAGAAATGGGCAAATTTTTACAGTAGAATCCAACAGCACGTGACATGCCTTGTCACCTTTCATGATGCAGACGCACTTGTAATTTCAGTCTCTGTGTAACTGCAGCATCACCTGTGTGGCAGCAATAGCAGCGGCACCGAAGAGGCTGTTGGGAGGTGCAGCTGTATTCTGTGACATTTACTGGTATAATGGTGGTTGGTGACGTGGGCGTTGGCTGGTGTAGGTTGAGATGGAGCTGGAATGGCTCGACAGCTCTTTTGCTGGGGGGATCTGTCCTCTTCTTCTGTGTTCCCATTACACAGTACTGCCCTTAGTCTTGTTGCCTGGCAACAGACATTGCCTTAAATAACTGGCTACCCAGACGGAAATAGTGCAGAGATATTGACAATGTAGTAGGGTTCACTCCAGGCAAGAACAAATTATATTCCAGGCTTTTTTTGTTGTTTTTCTCAGAAAATATTAGGGCGAAGCTGAATGTGAAAATGGCGTGTTGTCCTCAGTCGGAGGACCTCAGCCTGAGCTCTCTAACAGAGAACTGGAGGAGCGGTGTGCTGTGCTGTGCTGTCCTTGCAGAGATAGCCAGGCACCACTGAATTGTGTCATCCATGTAAGTGGTTCCCAAATGAGCCTGCACACCAGGCTGCACTCAAAACGTGCTATTATCTATGCAAATTCTGCCGCCCTGGTAGGGAAAAACCGACGCACCAGGCACTCTATTAGTGATCGCACAATGAACTGGAACCATCATCAAAACACATTCTCTTACAAAAGGTTTCAAATCTACGTGTAAAAATAACCGTTCAAATGCTTATCTCTAACAAAAATGTCATTATTTTCACTTATTTTATAACCATTTCTTCCAGTTTTAATCCTCTGCCCATCAATCAGAGTATCATTTACCTTGATTATATCTATTTCCTTATGCAAATTAGTTTATCTCCCAGGAGCATTGATGGCTATGGCAGACACTGAGGGCGAAACGTGGCCAGACGGTTGAAATAACTGCCTATAATGATTAAAACCCCTTGCCCTTAAATTATTTAGTAGACCTTGTGGTACTTTTATGGTATTTTTTTAAACATATTATATAGTTATAGTATTTCATCAGCACAGAATCGGATGAGTTGCAGATTTTACTGTAGGACTGACTCAAACCCAGAATGTCACAGCTACCAGGTACTTCATGAAATATGCTCAACACTAAGGCTACTGTAAAAACTCACTTTGCATACTGCAAGTTTTTTTTTTCACATGACAAGATCATCGTCAAAGGGCACATTTTGTACGGCTAAAATGAAATTGTTCCTGTTTAAATAATTTTCTGAGAAAATGAAGGAAATCCCGTCCATTTTGGTTTAACATATGAGGTGAATTTTTGACTTTTGAGACAGCAGTTGAAAGAATAATTAACTCCAAGGCCCAGTTAGCAGCTTGTAATCTTTTTGCCCAAATCAAGAACCCCTTACCCCCTAAGTGTTTAAATTTGAACATTTAATTGACTTTTGAACCCTTTGTGCTGATAAAAGGAAATGATTTAATTAGATCTGATGCTGAATGGATCCTGTGGCCTCATTTCCTGTTCTTTAATTCCAGAATAAATTATGACACTAGAGTATAATCTATAAGGTAAATGTTTTCATGTAACACCAGGGTGGAAGACCACATGAAGTCATGCAGTGTAAGTAAAAGACGTGCACATGCACTTTGAAGCAGCTTGTTGATTTGTGGGCTGCTTAGTCTCATTTTGCTGCTGCCATCTTGTTTAAAAAAAAAATGTAACAGGAGCATATATGGACTCAAATTGCTTTCTTATTTACTATAAGCAGTGTTGGGAAGGTTACTTTTCAAATGTATTCCACTACAGATTACAGAGTACATGCCTCAAAATGTATTTTGTAACATATTCCGTTAAGTTACTCAATGAGAGTAACGTATTCGGAATACTTTGGATTACTTAATATATTATCATGCTTTTTACAACTACATGAATGTAGTATTGCTGTGTGATTTATTACTATAACTGAAGGATACTCTCCATACCAATAGCAACTAGATTTTTAAATCTTAATATAAAATGAGTAACAGTAGGTGGACATTAGGTAAGGCTGCACTTTTTGCAGCGATTTCATATAGAAAACTATTCCGCGCGTGTATAGAACAGGTCCGCGGCTCCGAAACCGTAGTAAAGGGACCTCTGGCTAATACGTCGGGTTCATGTCGGGCTCGTAGCTGAAAACTAGCTTTACTTTGTTGTCTGAGTCCGCTTTGCTAGCGAGAGACAGAGAGAGGCGTTGAAAGGCTGCTCCAACGTAACTTATTGTTTTAGAGGAAAATACGATCACAGTGTACAGTCGAGTCTTAATAGCTTACTTACAACTGGGCTCATCAGGCACTCTTTTTGGCTGCAGTGGTTATTATTATATTTACATGCTTTCATCTCCCGTTTCTGCTCTTTGACAGCTCGTACTTTTTCACTCTCCTTTTTAAACGGTAACTGTAACGGAATACAGTTACTCATATTTTGTATTTTAAATACGTAACGGCGATACATGTATTCCGTTACTCCCCAACACTGACTATAAGCCTCACCCATTTACACAAACATTCATAGAAGTGCTTTTTTCTATTCCTAAACACTTATGACCTAGCATTCATATACTCACTCTCCAAAGAATACATCGGGAGGAACCTGGGGTTCAGTATCTTGCCCAAGGATGCTTCGAATTAAATTTTCCAAAAAATAGATGACTCACTCTACCTCCTGAACCACTGCCAATCTCCCCCCCCAAAATACCACACTATGAGCCAAATCCTAAAGCATAACCTGCTTTATTGTTAATTTACTGTAAATGGAACCATAATTTTAAAAAATGAACGTCATGCTGTGTTAAACAGCACGCGAAATGAGTGAATGAGGTCTTAAACTCAGTAGGAGAGTGTTTACTGAGGTCATAAATTGAGTGAGAAGTAGGCCCATTTACTCATAGATCATACAGCAACTACAAGAGTTGCCTCCTGCTGGTCATTGTGAAATAATTAAGGTTCAAGGCATTTCCACCTTGGATTCGCTTTTCAGTCCCACAGTTATCCTGCATTCTGTTGGAAGCAGGAAGTTTCCAGTCTCTGAAGTTTTAGCTGGAATGCCCATTCAAGTCAACGTGCCACTTGGAAAGTTGGAGAATTCATGCCAGCGCCACCTTTGCACACAAACAGTATTGAAATGGCAACATGTCTTGTGTATTTATGACTCCCTAAATAAGCCATACATAGAAAACCCACCAGGCTCTATCCATGAACGCGTCGCAGCCTTCCACTCCATGTATTGCTGAAGGATTGTGTTCATGGCATCGCCTTCTTGATGAAGCGCAGACAGCTCAGGTATGAACATGAGATCCAACATCCAAGGTTAAAGCAATGCCATAATTGCTTTTATCTTTAATTGCAGTTTGATACTTCCATAGTCTGCATAGCACAGTAATTCTGTGTCATATTGAAATACACTAAATCTGACGTAGTTTCATATGTTCATTGTTGTAATTTCTAGTTAAATGTCTTTAAGATGACAAATTAACTGTGGATATGCACTGGAGACTGCTTTTACTCTGGTTTGCTGCTTCTTAAAGTTATTAATGTTTTATACCACTTTACCTCCGTAATTCAGTAACTCCTCTTGTTAGACTTAACTCCACCCATTATATATAGACAAAAGCTTGTACTATCTCATAGTAACATTTTATCATGTTGTACTACGCCATCTCACTAGAGATTAGACATACATACACTTATCAACATGTCAGCAGAGGTTGGAGAATGCCTACAGTGCAGAGACCCCGTTTATCTTTGATGGAATTTCACATTCAGTACTGAAGGAATTTAATAAGGACCCGGCCCTCCACCCCCCCACTGCAGCTGTCAGGAATGGCGTTGCACTCTCATTTGCATTCAAACCTGGTACTGGTGGTTCTATTCAGTCAATATTGAAACTCAAAGCATCTACATTAGGATCATCTTTTCTCCCGTCAACCCCAGGGGTACTTGGTGATGGCAGACATGGGGCTTTGTTCCTGGGGCTAGACAGTTTTATTAATCAAAGGGAAATTGCAGCAGGGGAAGGTGGGGGCCGATCTATGTCTTTGTAACGGTGTCAAGAGGGAAGGTCAGCACTGCGTCCGAGGAGCTTTCATTTCAGCCTACTTCAAAGGAATGTGTCATTCAGTTTCTATCTGTCTCATTGTCCACTCAACCAAAGACACTGGAGGACCTGCTCCAGCCCTCCCAAATGTTCAAGTGTTTCACTGTAGTGCAGTTGTCTCTGTTTCCTATAGATCTAGTATCTTTGGTGGAGGTGAAACTGCCATCTAGCTGATTGTACACAAAAATGCACTAATTAAATCATTCAGTGTTACGTGCATCTTTACCCAAGCAGCTGCAGGTACTTTGTCTAAATTGTGGCATGCATTTTTTCTTGATAGGGTGAGAGAACAATACTGGACTCGGACCTGATGGAGGAGAAGTCACCTAAAAGTAGCAAGCCTGGAAGAAAACGCAAGCAGTTTTCAGTGAGTGTTGACATGTCTAAACAAATTACATTTGTCCACGCATGCATACTTGTTTTGCAGTGATTAGGTCTGATTCAACAAACCCAAAAATAGGATTAGAAAAATATTTGCAGATGATGTGCCAGAGGGCTTGTGTAAGTAAATTTAACCTCCTAAGACCCAAACTCTTCCACGGCATGCATTTTTAATTTCTCTTTGATATTTGGTCACATTGGGGCCCGATGAATGTAAAAACAAAGAATTACCAGATTTTTTTTAAAACTTATTTTTGTTTTTAAGAAAAATAAGAGCCACATATGAGGATATTCGTTTAAAATTTTGATAGAACAGTAGCAGTATAATGTCCTCGTAAGTGGATATCAGGCCCTTGTAGAGCAAAACTGAGTATTTTGGTCTAAATAACACAAAATGTGATGTCCACATATGTGGACGCCAGGTCCTAGGAGGTTAAAGCAGCTTGGAGTTAGTATTAATACCTGGTATAGTAACACTCTACTTCGAATCAAGGCACCTTAGTAAGTGCTTTCACAGCTGCGTGGGGAATTGACCACATGTACCAAATGCTCAAATGTTCACTGTTGCTGTTGTTGTAATTCATCTGAGCGAGACAGCCACTTCACTTTGTCACATATCAGCCTCCTCGCTGACTTGCGTTGTTTCCTGCCTTCAGTGTCAAATGTCAAAAGAAAAAAAAAGTTGCAAAGAAATAAATTTAGAACTCAAAATGGGTTCAAGTTGTCCAACCACAACCGAAGGTTTGCTGTTTCAGAACTGAAACTACTGAACTGAAACCCTCCTGGAAGGCAGAAGGACAGATGGCTGCCTTTTCACCTTCACATACTGTAGCTGGCCAGTCATCGCGTGAAGTGCTTGTTAGACTGTTGGTTTCAAAATTCAGCCCTTTTCCAGCATCGTCAGAACGATGTGTTTAACCATCTGACCAGTTTCAACATGATTGTTCTTGTGAATCCCACCTGGCCATATTCGGTTTCATTCACTGGTATTTATAAGCCCGATGTACTGAGTGAATCTCATCATTCCATTCAAGCAGAAAGATTATAATGGCGGAAATGCCTGTAAGGAAAGCCCATCTAAAAATGTTTGATATTATTCTTCCCTTCGCCATGTTTTTGCCTCATCGTCAAGTAATCATTTATCTGTACGCCACATTATTTGAGGCATGTACCAGTTTATAATGAAAGCTCTTGTTTTGTCTTTGCACATGGCACCTATAAGCAGTTTCAGTAGAAAAACAAGTATTATTTTAGCCTTCAGAAATCTGTTAACCTGTAAGACACAACGTGTACTCCTTTGTACTCATGAATAAACATGACATATTCTTGAACCTTGTTTCCAAGATACATGCATGCACTACACTAACACCATTTGCAGTCTATTTGTGATGCCTTGTGTAGTTAAAAGCTCTGATTTAATAATGACTCTAAGGGCCAACATGTTTCTGGGTATTTTTTCTTTCCCTGAGATGTTAGCATTTGCATAAGCTTCTGTTGAAAATCATCTTAATTAACTCTCACTGTGCAATTAAACAAACCAAAAAGGGAAAAAAGGATTAGACAAATATTTACAGATAATGTATGATTGGACGGGATATGCCAGAGGGTTTGTGCCCCTGTATTTAAAGAAGCTGAGGAGTGGTATCAATAACTGATTAAGAAAAGCCGTACGCAGAATCGGGGCGCCTCACTGAGTGTTTTCACAGCGTGGGGGATTGACCATGTGTACCAGGCGTTCTGCTCACATAGATGTTTCACAGTTGTTTTTGTTATTCTCTGAATAAAAGAGTCACTCAAATGCCAGATTGGCCAACTTCAAATGCTGTCAGAAAGCCTCTTTTAATTTTTTTGTTTGACTTTTTTGAAAAGAGGCTGACATGGAACATTGGTTTTAAAATGTTGTTTTCCATGCAAACTGTCAAAAGCTGAGTGAAAACAGAAGGTAATTGTTGGAAAGGATAGCGTAAACAAGCCTTTAGCCCTCTTCGTATGTTGCGTTTACCCACATGGACAAAGACAGTGGAGAGAAATTCTCAGAAATGTCCTTTCTACAAAAGTGTATGTATTTTATCAATGCACACTACTGTATATGGGTGAAAGTATTGGGTCAAACCTCTTAATCTTTGAATCTTAGCCCCATTGCTTCAGGTCTATACTTTTGTCCTTATTGTGTACATACTCACTCATTCTGCTCTTTACATATATTTGCGTTCTTTTTAAGTGTTCAGTGACAAGATCAATATACTAGGTAACAAAGTGAGTATGAAACTAAAGCCATCAGGATGTTAGCATAGCTTAGGAGCTGTACACAGATAGCCATTTATATACTGACTATATCATATGTATAGAATAAGTTTGTATAAGGTGTGTAAAGTCTTTTTGATAAAATACTTGCTATAGCTTAATTCTTATTGTACAGACATGAGAACGTAGCACTTGGCAGGAACATGAATAAACAGGTTTTGCTTGGAAAGATGTTGAGCTAATCCTTTAGAAAACCTGCCTGAACAAAGTAACATGACTAAGCTCTTTTTTTAGGGCACCCAGCTTCTTTATTGCTGCACTGCACTAGTTTCACGTGAACTGATGAATTTCTGAAGTTTCAGGCTAAAAATATAAAAAATCCAAACAAAAACTTGCCTGCAAAAAAGCCCTGTTGCCTGTTAAATGTGATGATTAGTTTTCTGTTAAACAGATCAAACACTGGAGTGGTATTAAAAAAAAAAACCCCTGAAAATAAAGAAAAACTTCCATAAACATCTTAATATTTCCTGTTCGGCTAGCTTTCCAGAAACAGAAGATCTTCAATCAATGATAATAACACGTAGAAAGGCAGCAAAATACCTCTTTTCGCATAACAGTTTCCAGTTGCTGTTAATTGAATAATGTAAGAAGTTATCAGGCAGTGTAATGAATTATTAGCTCATATTTTCAGGCGTACATCTGCATTTAATTTTAATTTCAATGTGTATTTTTAGAAACCTTTATAATCATATTATTACTGCACCTAGTTCTATGAGGGTGTGTGAGTGTTGTAGCAGTAAGTTGGTTGAGGTAATTAGTCTTTATTTTTTCAACCTCTCTCTCTGTCTAAGCTGCCTGATTTACCAACTTTGACTTTTGACCTGTAGCAGGGGCCGCATGTTGTTAACTATGTCACAAATCTGTTGCGTAATTCTTTCACTGTGAGTTCTGTGTGTTGCTAGCATGTGTGTCTGAGAATATGAGTTTTTTGGGTTTTCTCTTTGCTTACTTCTTTTTTTTGCATGTGTGTGATATTTGCGTAACCCCCCCCCCCCCCCCCCCCCCCCCACACACACACACACACACACACACTGTAGCCTCTTTTTCTAGTAGTAAACTGAGTCAGAATATTAATAATGTCTGAGCTCTGGGTTGTTTTCATTCATCGTGTCAAAGAGATTTACTGGAGAGCTGTTCTTTGTAGGAGTGCAATTGTTCAGTTTACAGTTAATTTGTTCTCAGTTACTACAGTGATGAAGTCGTTTAGAGTTCTGCGGCCTCTGAAGAATGCTTTGAAACCGACTTTGGCTTGCTGTAGATTTGTTTTACGATTCAGAGCAACTTCCACTGAAGCTTTTTTTTTCTTTCGCATGTCTGCCACTCATAATTTGCATTGCATCCCTTACACAGACATTAAAACTTGATTTAAGTTGTGTTTGCTTATTCCGACTGTAAGAATCAGATTACGGATTTGATCCTTACCTTCCTGGAGAGGATCTTTGCTCAACGTCGTCCGATGACAGACAAGCCTCCTGAGGCATTGCTTTCCCCCTTCCTCAAACTTCTGTAAATACCTGCAGATAAAAGTTTCAGATACTGTCGTAACTGCTGACAGTCTAATCTCACAAGACACACTCCACTTTCTCCCCTCAGTGACCCTATAGTGGGACTGTCTCACTAACTCGGTTTTTAGGGCTATTTTTAGGCAGTAGCAAAGACACTATTACATTGCTTCAAACATTTAGGACTTTTCTAGGTCTTCTAAGATAGTTGGTGTTTTATTTAAGGATTGATGACTGAGTTCCTGCCATTGAAACTTTCAGCTTCAGGTCAGCTCTATTTGAATTTACTCCGCTTTATAGAATGAAACACTTGACTGGGCGTTCCAAACTGGCCGGAGAAAAAGCCTTCCCATTGTCAAACAGCCAACATTCTCAACATATTTCCGTGCTGCTGTAATGATGAATACATGACTACAAAAAGTGCACTAGTGTACCTGATGAACTGTAATGTAATCCCTTTCCTTCTTGCAAGTTAATGGCTGTACAGCACATTTACTGGCACAGCTTTGAAGTTTATAAGTTTGCCATAATTCACAGATTAATACGTGCGGAGCTGAGCTACATGTTTGATTCTGTCCAGATAGAGCTGAGGAAATTTAATTAGGCTTGTCTAATATGAAAGAGATGAATGCTTTCATTCACATTCTCTTTGAAAAAGGCCATTTAGCCACTGCTGAAAAGTGCTTATCCTGACACGGATAGTGCCAACTGTTTTATTGTGGGTCGTTCAGATCCACTGGATGATTTGTTGTAAATTCAGAAAGGTTGTGTTTATCTCACAGCCAGCTATCCAGTCATATTTCATGACTGCTGAGGCACAACTCTGTTGTACACTTCAAAACATCAATTTATAGCATACAGCTGTAAGAATCTTTAAGGATGATCGATCATCAGGATGTTAACATTTCAACCTCCCCTTTTCCTTTCAGCAGGTTGAGAGCTGTGGCTCTCTTAAAGACAGTGCGAGTGTAGGCCACAGCTACACTATGGCGATGGCACAGGTCTTCAATGGGGACATGGGCGGGATCAGAGACAGGATGCCCGATGCCTGCTTCCCAAAACAGGAGAAGCGGGAAGTCGAGAATGGGATTCCCAGAGACCCTTCCTCCTGCCGTGCAGAGGACAGCTCTCAGGGGCAGAGTCTGAGTCATCCTCAAGAGAACGGATTCCTGTCCAGCCGGGAAGAACAGGACTTGGAGAAAGCCAATGATGACTGCCTGATGACGCCGCGCAAGAAACGAGGGAGGCGGAAACTGGAGCACCCAACTAAATGTAAGATTTTGGCCATTTTCATTTGGGGTTTTTTTTTTTAGTTTTTAGTTGAGGTTTATTATCTTTTGATCAGTCTTGTGTGGCTCCAGGAAGAAAAAATCCTGGGCGTGTGACAAGTACAAGATGTTGAGTAATGAACCGTAAATGGATGTCAGACCAAGTAGGTCAACTGATGCTGCCAGGATTAGTAACACTGGGCTCGAAGAGGTGCCTTCATGCTGCTGCACAGACTAGTCTGCAAAGCAAATTGGTGATGATGATCTCCACTGTTAACATTTATGTGAGACACAGTATGCAGACTGTTATGCATGCAATATGTCGCTTATTTTGCCTCAGTTTGGGCTACCAAATGCTTTCAGTATGCAGAAGCAGTTGGCATTTAAAAGCTCAGCGTGCTCCATATGACAAAAATGAAATTACAAATGTAATGAAAAAAGAAAGGGATAATTACCAGATAATGTAGTGAAAAGAAGAGTGGATCACTTTACATTTATTATGCTATCCTCTAAGTTAATTACAATGTGCCGTTTTAGCAGGATATAAAAGAATACAAATTTAATTTACCCCAAAGGTTTCGACTCATCCAGCAGTTCATTAAAACATCAAAACGCAGACTACATGTACCAGCAGCTCTGACAGTATGAATTCACAAACTAATCTTGAAGACAACACTTAATTAAAAATTTAGGGAAAATGCCCAGATGTTTAACTTTTTAATAAGACAAGAACAGGCTCTGCTCCCAGTGTGCAGTTTTAGATTAAAGAAGCAATTATTTATTAATCTGTCTGTTCAGTTTTTCTAATAATTTCTCCATGCACAAGTAGTTTCTGCTGCCAGCTTCTCGAATGCGAATGTTCGCTGCATTTATTGGACTTTGTACAACGTAACAGACAAAATGATTAGTGCATGTAATTTATTACTCTACTCATGTTCATTTTGAAAATATGGCCACATTAACAGTTAAAATTAGCGGGATTAAATCGTTTATAATAGAGGGATGCAAGAAAATTAGGACAAAAAGGAAATGTCGTACTGAAGAATGCCTCAAATATTTATTTTTCAGGAAATAATTTGACAAAATAATTATGGCAAATATAATTATTTTGTATAGATCAGATTTTTGTTCTGTTGGACTAAATCAGCACCAGTCGCAGTGCACCAGGAGATAAAACAACCATGTAAAGCGATGTAAATCAGTGGGGCATTGTTGTGAGAAAATACTGCTGACAGGTAGGTTTTAGGCCAAGATGGAGATTAACCATATCACTTAGCCCCCCCAACACACCCATCACAGCACACATGCACTCCATTTTTTGTCCTATCTCTCCCTCAGCCACGTGCCTCTCCTGCTCCACTCTCAGTCGGCAGACACACTGGCTATGACCTTGATGAGTGCAATAAATAAATCGAGGGGAGGAGCAAGTTCTCTCCTGGCAACGGGCCTCTGTTGGGAGCTGGCAGGTCTCTGTTGTGGCCACCTCCCTGTCGGGGGTCCTGCCAGGTGGATGGCTTTGTGCCCAGAACTCTTTACAAACTGAGTCTGCACTCTGCATACACCTGATCTGTGCTTCTAGGATCTGTTACTTCACTTCCAAGCAAAAGGCAGGAATATGCATATTGGCTGCAGGTGAAAAAGGGTCAGATTTCTTAAAGCTCAGTCCAGTGCCGCTCACCATTAGCATGGGACGCAGATGGCATGGAAATCTGATTTCCACATTTCTACCTTAATGATGGTAATTCTCTGATAAATCATGAAAGTGTTTTGAGCCAACCATTTTCTTCCGCTTATTTGATTCAGGGTCGTGGGGAGAACTAGCCTATCCCAGCTGTCATAGGGTGAGAGCCAAGGTACACCGTGGACGGGCTGCCAATTTGGTACAGGGCTAACACAGTGAGACAATTTAATTCCACTGAGTTTTTTATATAGTGCCAAATCACAACAGTTGCTTTAAGGCGCCTTATATTGCAAGGTAAAGACCTTAGAATAATAGAGAGCAAACCCCAACAATTAGATGACCCCCTATGAGCAAGCACTTGGCAACAGTGGTAAGGAAAAACTCCCTTTTAACAGGAAAACAACTCCAGGGGTACCAGGCTCAGGGAGGGGCAGGTGTCTGCTGTGACCTGGACAAAAGACAGGATAAAAAACACTGTGGAAGAGACCCAGAGACGGACAACCATTTACACTCACATCCACAGCTGATTTAGTATTACCGGTTAAACCTGAATGTGTAAACTTGACACAGAAAGGTCCCAGCTGGGATTCACACCCAGGGCCTTCTTGCTGTGAGGTGACAGCGCTAATCAATGCACCGCATCTTTTTTTATTTTTACAGTGAGGAGAAGCCTTAGAAGTAGACTGTATGAAGTGAAAACTATTAGGGAGTATACTATTAGGGACTGCATGAAGTTAAAACTATTGAAAAGCACTTGACCAGTCTGTCAAAAGGCTAATATTACTGTCAGAAAAAGTGTTACTCGTGCCTCTATTCAAAGAATGTGTCTTTTTTGAGGACACTGATTTGAAACCAGTGGAAAGTGCAACATTAAAGCACTGTTTACAACTTTAGTCTAATATAGGAGCATGCTAACTCAGAAAATTAACAGCAGCTTTGTAAATTCCCAGTGTTTCAGTGACAAATGTGTTTGTAATTATTTTTCAAACATTAAGACCACATAAAGAATGACCTAATCTCTAAAATTTTGAAAGGGTTGTCAGCACTCTTTTCCACGATAACGACTTTTAATGAGCCCTGTGCCGTGATAATCTAGAGTGAATTGTGGGAGTTTGCAGGAAACAACCTATAAGCATTCCTTTCCACTTTAGCTGTGTAACAGAAATGAAAGGTCTCAGCAAAGTTTCTCTCACAAGATAAGACCAGTTGTCGACATGTCAGACCAGTTTGTCAGACAGAGGAACTAGGTAGTGTGATAAAGCACCGTTAGCCACAAAGTCAAACAAACAACCTTCACAATCAGATACTCAGAGTAGAGGTTTGCAAGCACTCTGCAAGTCCTTCAAAATCTGCAGCAGATGTTAGCGACATGGCTGCATCATGGTGTTCACCAGCAGCTATGTGGGATGATACAGCAGAAAGTTTGCTTGAGATTTTAAGATTTTTTTTTAATCAACATGGAGAAAGGATGGTGACATTTTACAGAAATGTGAAAGCAGCAAGGCGTTATGCAAACACTCTGGCATGCGCATGTATGATGTTAACATTTACCTTATTGCATTATACTCAACAGCATATCAGACTGCAAAAAAATCCCAAAACAATCCATGCAGGGGGCTTATTAAGGTTTTAACTAAACATTTAAAATGTGTTGGTATATCCTTTTTAGAGTGGAGAGACCTTGGTGGGAGGCACTGCGGTCGATCAATAGTCAGCTAAACAGGGTTTCTGTTATCCATCTGGAGGGTACAGGAAGGACTTTAGCTCCAGCAGGAGTTGAACTGAGCTCCAGCAATACTAGAGCTGGAACCCACTCAAACTGGCAAAGTATACTCTCTGTGGGCAACATTAGCCAGCTCCTCATGCAAACCCAGTGACCTTGGCAGTGTGCATGCCTCACCGATTTGTTATATAGTCACTTATTCCCGATGAGGACAAGGAGACGAGTAGAGAGGGGTGGGGTCAGGGTGTGTGTGTGGGGGGGTGGTGGTGGTGGTGCAGCAAGTTCAGCCACACATGGAACCAACTTGAAGAGGCTGCTAAGAGAGCGGACTATTGTTTGGACAGGTTTGCAGGGCACTTCACTAACAATCCTGTGCAGAAAACACGCCATCAAAAGTTGTCCTTAACCTCTTAGGACTCGAGTGTTATGATAGTGTTTGGGCTTTAAAACAGCAGCTAGTTATGTGTACTCTGGCTGTGCCATCATGCTAATTCAGGCCACAGCTGCCTCAATGTTGTGTGTATGCTGCCCCGGTGTAATATCACTGAGCCAGGGCCCTTTTCGAAACACGTGCCTTCATTCAGATTAAACATAGTGAAAGTAATACACGAGCTTCTGGTTTGAGCTTCTGTGATGAAGCTGATTTTGGCTTGCTTATCAATGTTTCTGCAGCCACTGTGGCAGAAAAACTTTTCATAAATCATGAATCCCTGCTGCCAGGCTAGCGTTTCAGTTGGGTGATATCCATGCTCGCAGGCTAACCTCTCGCTGCTCCGCTGAACACAGGCAAACAATGCCTTTTAAGAATGAATAACATGCCGTTGTTGGTGTGCACCCCCAGACATTAAATCATGGCCAAGTTAATGGGAAATCCCAACTGGAGCTTTTACTGTGTTTGAAGCATTTTTATTAGACTGCGGTTTCAGTGCACGTTTCAGCAAATATTTTCAGTGCCATTTTTGACAGCTTTACCCCGCTGCTGTACCTCTCACTTACGGTTTCGCAACTTCCTCTGTACAGTTAGGCACTCTTTCCTGTGCAAAACACTGGACTTGCTGGTACTCTTTAGCGTCTTGAGCAGTAATAATATATCAGCGGTGGGTAAAGCATGATGATTTCATGTAATTGCGTGAATGTTTTTACAGATTTTTAAAAAGAAGAGTAGAATTTTCCAGTAGTAATGTTGGGAGGTTTGCATTTTTGGATCAAAATGCCATAATACAGCGGTTAGAGCTTTTCTTATATGAATATCTCCTCATTTCTTGGCAAGAATAGCACCCTGAAAAAATTTAGCTTCTTACACTGAGTTTCTGCCCACTTAAACCCACACATATCCATGATTAGTTGTCTTTTTGCTTATAAATGAAGGACTATAGTTGTTAGATTGACTCATCCACTTAAAATCTAAATATTGCTCAAAATTCTTGAACGCTTGCTTGTTTACAAAGATTCTTATTACTATATTATTACTGTAGCTGGTTATAGTTTGACCTAAGGCTGGGCCATATCATACCGTTCACGGTAATACCGGTATAATGTTGGGCAACGATAAGAAAATGAAATATCGCGATAGAATATGGGTAAAACGCACATGCGTAGTGCCTTTCTTTTCATACGCACATGGCGGAAAAAGCATGGTGGAGAATGAGAAGGGCGAAAGCGGGTCGTTGAATGAAACGGATGAACCAGAATTGGTTTGTAAAAATGCTGCAACTTCAGTGGTGTGGAACTGGTTTAGCTTTCGTCTGTCAGACACACAACAAAGCACTATTTTTGGTAGAGCATGCTAGCGGGACGACGTTATTACCGTGTTCTTTGGAAAATACGGCACACTTAAAATCAATCCTTTGATTTTTCTGAAAATCAACAGTGCCCCTTATAATCCCGTGTGCCTTATTTATGAATTCTGGTTGTGTTTACTGACCTCGAAATGATTTTATGTCGTACACGGCGCTCGAAAATCTGTCAAATATTTTAGTACGACTTTGCTAACCTACGAACCCGCACCGCTTGATGGATTGTCGGAGCATTACGGCTATCGTAGGCAGGAGCCTCGCAGAGTGATACGTACTGTGCTTCAACATAATATTATCGTATTGTGTGTGTATAACCTCTTTTTAAGTTTTATGGATATTATACATGGTTATGCTGAGGCCAATTTCCACTAGAAATGCCTTTTGGTTAAACTGTCAGCAAGGAATTTGCATTTGCACTGTTAAATTTTTATATAACTTTAATGCTCATAAAAACAGCTGCTTGTTTAAGTAAAAATACATTGATGGGATTTTTTTTGTACTAATAAAGTTGTGGAGTTGTAAAGTATTTTGTCTAGTGTCAATTATATCGTCAGTTATATCGTTATCACAAATTTTCAAATGCATATCGTGATAAATATTTTTGGTCATATCGCCCTGCTCTAGTTTGACCTACTACTTACATTTGAACTACTTTTGTGCTGTTGTATAATTTAACGTGTGATATCATATTCTAAAAGTTGTACAGTGGCAATCAGACATTTTTAACTGCTGCATGAATGTAGTCTAGTAAACCGTACTAATAATCTGTAGGAAGTCCCTCAGAAATATTATATCAAAACTATCAATACTCATTTTTCTCATCGCCATGGATGCATGAGGGATTTCTTCTCTATAGTGTTGGCAGTGTTAAAGCCAGTTTGCAATTTTGGGGTGTCCAAGATAATGGAAATCCCAAAACGGTGCTTGTGTTGTACAGCGAGAGGCATTCAATGTAATCTTCAGTCTTCAGTCTTGCAACCGAAGATTATCTGGGACAAAAAAATTCTCACAGTGTCTAATATTTAGGACATTTCTAGCACAGCTTCACCTACTTCCAAGGTCTGTGGAGATAAGCAGTAGTTTTAGACAGGTTGACAATCCAGGAAAACCTGTGGTACTTCATTACGTATTGGTCAAGTAAGCACTGGAGCTTCAACCTCTTTAATGTCTTCCAACCAGCCAGCAGGAATGCATCATGAAGTGATGTGTCTAAATGGTATCAGTGGATTTTAAAATGGGCTAAACCAATTGACTGGGACAACCAAGAAGGAAAAATAGTTGAGTTGTGGCAGCAGCAGCGTATTTGTATGAAGTGTCCCCCCCAGCTGTTATCCTGACTCCATCATGAAGAGTGTAGTGTGGAAAGGAATAAAAAAAAAACCAAACAATATATTTAAAATGGAAAACTAAAGATAGGCTTGGAAAGGCGTATCAAACAGAAGTCTATTAAACAGGTGTGTGCAGGTAACTGTGTAAGTGTGCGTGTGTGCGTGTAGGTGTGTGTGTTTATATGTGTGGACAAAGATATGACACTGCAGTTATCTTTTGGATAATTTAAGATGTCATTTGGACTGTAGCCAGCTGGCCTCAGCTGTCAGGTTTTCTTTTTATTCTTTTTTATTTTTCCATTAAATTGATTCAGTGGGGTTTATTAAAACAGTTCCAAATGTGAAAATAAATCTTTTAAAACTAAGAAAAAAATAAAATAAAAATAAAAACTCCTACTGAATGAACTGTGAGGTGAAACCCTCCTGTTAGCTGTGAAGTCTGTGATCTTTGAATGCCCAAACTTAGCTTTGACAAAATTGTACTCAGCTAAGGTACAAAGTAAATTATTCACTCCTCAGCTTTAATACACAAAATAGGAGGCTGTTTTTTTCCTTCCAAAATAATGTTGACAAGCACTGGCTATTGTGTCTCCTCACTACATACATCTCCATCTACACAAGACAACTGCAGGGAAATGAGAATCCTGTGTCGATCCATTTCAGGCTTTGGAGATTGGCGGGGAGATTATATACAGCCCCAGAGTCACAGACGTGAAGCAGTGTACTGTTGCCTTCAAAACTCACTCTCAGTAGTTAGGGAGGGGCCATGTTAATGGCAGCCAGTTGTGTTTCTCATGAAGGGGGGATATCAGGTCAGAAACACAACATTTGCAAGTAATCCTGGCCACCCTCCATCTTCATCATAATTTGGGCAGGCCCTCCGAATGTTCGGAGTGGCTATGGTATCTTTCAGCAGTTTATTAACTTGACTTTAATTTGATCAAACACGTCATTTATGGGGGTCAGATTAATATATGTATAATATGGCTCAGTGATGGACGAGAGCTCACTGAAGCTCAACATTGATACAGCGAAAGCCGATGCCAGCTCCCTCTCTCTTATGAATGATTCAGGCCATCCATTGTGTCACTGTCTTCTCTCTAGATGTGGAGCACAAGGAGGAGGATGGGAGTGATGCGGTAAAGACTGAGGTAAGATTTCTGTCCTGTTGTGTCTTTATTCTTTGGTTAATGTAGCTAAGGTGACTGTCCCACGTTGCAGAAGTGTAGCTTCATTTATTGAAGTGGGTGAATTACTTTGCTCGTGTCAAACCAGAAGTCAAACCGGTTGGGTTCTGAACTGAACATGGCAAAAATGAGAAGCTATTCCTTTAAACTTACTCATTAAACTTTTGCCACATGCCTTCCCATAAATGGAGCAAAGAAGCCTACACTGTATCAGCACCATTACACAAGTGGAGGCTATTCGTTTTCTTGCCTTTGGACTTATGAAAGAAATGGTACCTGATGGTGTATAAATTTGAAATATCAAATACACTTGGGAGCTTGTTGTATAAGTCGGTATTGTTGGCCTTGAGTCTGTTAGACATGGTGACATCATTTCTTCCTGCCTGACCAATCACCAGCATGCGAGACATCATATTTTTAGCAATGTAGTTAACCCCATCTTAAGTTTATTATTACCCAGTTGTTACCTAAATTGTTAATTTGCAGGTTGTAGCGACAGATCAGTCATTTTACTACAAATCTGGATGCTTCCTTATGACAGAAACTCTCAGAAGAAGAATCAAAAACAAATAGCTAACTTTTTTTTTTAACGCCTTAAACAGGGAGGTCGAGGCAGGCTGCGAGGGGGAGTTGGTTGGGAGATCAGCCTTCGTCAGAGGCCCATGCCCAGAATAACCTTCCAGGCTGGTGACCCTTATTACATTAGCAAGAGGACCAGAGAGGAGTTGCTGGCCAAGTGGAAGATGGAGGTGAGTACCCCAGCTCTGTCCCAGCCACCACAGACGGCAGGATGAGTGACAGGCGTTGACTAAAGCCGCCAGGGTAAAAGACAGAGCTCGTAGTGCATTCATGCTCTGCCAAGTGTATTTGATGGGTCATTTGATATCTCATGAAGGTACCATTTATTTCAGTGGATTTCCAGGCCTTTCTGGCTCAGTAGGCTCCTGTGTCTCCTGGCTTAGTTCTTGTGTCTTGCATTTGCAGAGAAGAAATCACACACAGCTGTGTAAATAGCATTCGTTTGGTGTGTTGATATGATTCATGCCTCCTGGATGAAAATGTGTTACATTTCGATTTGCATCATTCTGACTGCTTTTGGTGTGTTGAAGCTGAGCCAGCCAATGCAGTCTCCTAAGGACAGATTCTCCCTCTGTCTTTGTTAATATCGAATGTACTTTTAATTGGCTAGATCAGACTAAGTTTAGATTTAAGAAATGGTGTTTAAAAATTAAAGAAGTCCAGTGTGAGGATGATCTTGTAAGAGTAGTATTTTCAAAGCTTTCGCAGATGCTTATATATGGCACGGGTTCATAATTTAATGGGAAAGGATTCAGGAGTAAAAAAAGTAATTATCAGCATATTAACCCATTTGCTTCCTGTGTATTCAGTCAAATAGAAAAAAGTAGTGTATTATAGATGCACTTAAAAAAATTCTAGCAATGTATTTGTAAGGTTGTTAACAACTTGATGTGAAGACACTGCTTGACTCTGCCCACCATCTGCAGCTGTGCTGTGTACTTTGCTATTTGTACTGCAGAACGTATTATAGACAAAGTCAGAGTTCCTCTGCTGGACAAACACCAGCCGACTTTACTGCTTTGAAACGTAATCACAGTAGCAATCATTTCATCTTTCAACCCAACAGTTGCAGAGTAAATTTAATTTGTATATATAGCTATATGTAGCACTAAATCATAACAACAATCGCCTCAAGGTGTTTTGTATTTTAAAGTAAAGCCCCCCTGACAGTATTGCCAAATCAAACATACTGAGCAACCAGCTGTAGCAATCCCTATTGAATAATGGGGCTGCCGAAAGTAGATTTTATAGTGGCATGTAACTGCATCATGAGTCGAAAAGAAGCACTCAGTGCATCATGGGAAGTCCCCCAGCAGCTTCAGTTGGTAGCAGCATAACTAAGGCCTCAGTCGCACAGGTCTTCAGACAGGTTGGCAACCCCCTGCCAATCTCCAGTCGGTAGAGAAAAATGTGTATGCCCTGACAGGTTGCTGAGTGGTTCCTCGAGGTTGCTGGCTGCTACTGGGTGAGATTGGATGCAAAGAAGGTGCTGCATCAAAAACCTAATTGGTTTGTTCAGCAGCAGATTTCTGTGGCTGTGGTTGCATGGATTTGCAAACATGTGGTTGCAAAACTTGAAAAGGTTCTACTTTTGCAAAGTGCAAAAGTAGAACTTTTGCTATTCAAGTAAAAGTTGTCCCTTTTTGCTGAAACCAACACACTTCAAAAGATGCAACTTTTACTGTGAAAATAAATGGTTTCCTTTTTATTGTTTGCATTCCACTCTTCACAGACTCCCTATGGTTTAGCATGTAGTTGGAGTGCTTTTAGACAAGCTGACCTCTTCTGTATGGGCGACTGCAGCGAAATACTAGCAACCAAAGCAGTTGTAAGAAATTTTTTTGCATGTCATCATCTTTTTGATTAATTACATATATATTTTTTCTGACCAGGCGGTCGCCATTCAGTCTCTAGGAGATTAATGGAAGGTCCAGGGTCACCGAGTACAGCGCTAACTCTAAGCTTTATCAAATATGATAGTTAGAGAGCATGCTTGTTTACCAAATGCAAACTGGGAGGTTCCATAGGTGAAGTGCCTGAAAGCTGAAGGGTCTGCCTCCCATTCTACTTTTAGTCTACACTCTGAGAGTGAACTGCTCTAATACAAAAAAATATGTTGGAGGCCAATGATTCAGGACTTTGTCAGAATAAGGATTTCAAAGTCATTCCTGGATTTAGAAGGAAGCCAATAAAGAGAAGCTGAAATAGGAGAAATATGATCTGTTTTTATGGTCCCTGATAGTACTCTTGCTGAATCAAACAGCATTTGCAAACCAGGAATTTCCACTTGTCTAATTTTACTGTTGGATGATGTTGCATTGTGGTACAGTTGGCCTTCCTTTTTTTCTTATTTTTGCCAGAACCAGTGGCCACTTCCAAATAAAGGAGGGGATTTTTACGCAGGTTTTATGAAGACCTCTGTGCTACCTGTTAACACACTTCAAACAATATTTTATATCCATTAACTACACTCAGAACAATCACACAGCTTGCTCTTTTATCTTCTGGCAAATATTTATCCTTGATTTTTCTTTTTAGAACATTTATCATCTGTGAATGATGATAGATCATCCTTCATCATTGTAAAATTCTCCACATTGCTTACTTAATCCTCATAGTAATGTGATGGCACCTACCTTCATCTGTTACATAATGGGGAGTCTTCCATTTCTTCTGCTGCTCGCTTCTCCCTCTGCTCTCCTCGGGACCGTAAAAGTGTCTCCAGAGAGAAAATATTGCCAAATTAGTCCTACGAGTGAAATGTCATAAAATACAAAGTGGGTAGTTCACATTTTCCAAACAGAGGTGGATACTCTTGAAGAAGTAGCTGTACAAGACAGGGATTTATGGGGATTTGCAAGATGCAAATTTTGAATGTACCTGCTCCCCCCCTCCCCTTCCCCATCCTTTTCTTATCTGGCTTTTTGCAAGCTTTGAACTCATTTGCATAAAAGGGTGATTTGTTTTGACATAAAAGCCCTTTCTTGATATGATTCATATCCCGTAATTTTGGTTCTGCTCTTGCTACAAAGATCTTTGCTGTTGCATTCTGCTGCAACAGGGGCCATATGTTGTTGAAAGGCTGTCTTGCACTTTCTCCAGGATCCCTGTTTGTTTCATTTGCCCTGTGTTACAGTGGACTTCTCGGTCTCTCCCTCTCCTTTTCCCTGCTCCATTCTTCCAAGGACCCCTCCCCCAGCTATGGAAATGAACTCTGTGCTATGGATATGAGGGTGAAGATGAGGTTTGCAGCAAATTTCCAACCCTGCTTGCAAGAGAGCCTCTTGGCTCCTTGCCAAAACTTTGCAAGTCCTCTCTAGCCAACCAGCGTTCCTGTCGGCAATCACCTGACCCTGAATTCCCAGACAAAGAAATGTTCATGCTTTCTTTTTTTAAGCGATCTCTCCTACGCCAAGAGTGGGGGTGGAAAAAAAACTTCAGCCCCACACTGGATTATGAGGGTTGCACGCTGGCGTGTATGGGTATGTGCACTGCATTGTTTGTTTGATAACACAGGGGGATAGTGTGCATGTCTGATTAGCCTGCTTACAGCGAGGCGAATATGCTGACTTCAGGTATTTCCACGAGAATTGTTGTGGACCATCTGCTCTGCACGGCTTAAAGGGAAACGTCTCTTTAAAAAGGAAGAGGGAGCAGGGAGCTTTAGCCGTGTTTGGGAAAAAGTTGATTGGCATGAAAAAAACTTTTTCCCCTGGGTTGAATACTTGCTCAAACTATTTCCTGCTTCAGAGCAGCAGCTAGAAATGTTAGAATAGCATTGTTTTTAGAGGTGAAGTATATTTAACTTTTGAAAAAAATGTTTGTTTTTTATTTCCTCAGTGCCGGTATCCTTCACCTTACATAACATGCACCTAGAAAAAGTGTGAAGTGAAGCCCTTTTCTTCCTATCTTTGTGCACTTTGTTCTGTTTGACTCCTAACATAGATTACTGTAAAAACTCAATCCCTTAGAAATATTTTAAGTGGCTTTTTTTGTTAACAACTCTAGTTGTGGATTAATGGAGAAGTTGATTTATGTATTCATGGGTAGCTCTGTAAAATTCCTAATTATCTCTTAAAGGGATGTAATACAATGAGAAACAGATGGCCTTTTTTAAAACGTATTTTCTGGGCGATGTGACCCCCCGCACCCCCTCTTCCGAGGACACTCATGTTGTAGGGATCAGTGCTAAAAACAGCCTAATGAAAGCAGTAGCCGCTGAACCTGACATTTGTGCATTTTTGCAAAGTATTTCCACGCTAAAAGCTTTTTCAAAGCTTAGGATCAGATTATTCTCCATTTGGAGTTAACTACACCTGTTGTGGCTTTAGTTTTTATTATTTTGCTGCAGTTCTGCTCAGCAGATAAGCTTAGGTCTTTGCACTGAAAAGACATCTCACTGCATTATCCATCACACAGTCACACAAATGAGTCCCCGCTGTGCCTCCCCTGCCTGTTGCGCATGACAGACTACTGCATTCAAAGGTCACACTCTTTTGTGTTGTTTCAAAGGCTCAGTGTAATTTTTGTGACAGTGTATTTCGTCTAATGTTTAGGATACCTGATTGTTTTGACTAAATGGCATTTTTTCTTGAAGTTTTAACACGCTTCTCTCTGTAATCAGATTTGATTTTCTCTTTGTAGCTGGATCATATTATTTTTAACATGCACAGTGTTGTTTCATCTCAGCAACTGCACTTTTAAATCTTTGACCCGTAAATACTGAGACGTCTATAACTTGTAAAGTTAATAACCATATAATAGACAGTTGCTGACTGCAGCTATGCAGTAAAAGTGACCTTTTTGTTAACAAGTGCTGCCAGATTTGATAGTAAAGTATCATCTGCACACCCCAGAGACCAATATCACTTCTCTTTTTTTTCTTCCTCCGTTGCAGTGCACTCTGTCACCCCTTGAGCCCTCAGGGTATCATGCAGCACAGCCTCTAAGTCTGATTATCCCTTATTGTGCGCCCAACATGTCTCCACAGTCTGCCAGGGGCCTGCAGAGCTTCTGTTTTCTCTCTGCTCATAACAAAGTCCACGATCACTGGAAGCTTAGTCTTGCATGATACTTTAGAACATTTAACATAGTTTTTTGGAGGGTGGGGGAAGGGGGATTGTGTAGTTGTTTTCAGCACATTTATTTTGGAGTGTTTTTACAACTACAGTATGTCTGCTGTCATTTTTGGTATTGTTGTTCAGCACGGCGTGACAGCGGATATATGGTATTTCTGGTATCTGGTATTTCTAAGCTGTCAGTGACGGGCAGGCGTGTGTAAGTGATAAAGACCGCATTGTGTCTCTGCTACCTCCTTTCGTATTTTCCCCTTTAGACTCTGAGGGCCTGTCTTGCTGGTGGAGCTGCACACACACTGTGAGGCCCCCAAAAGGGGGCAAGACAAATATCTGGTTCTTATAGCCACTGTACTTTCTCTCCTCCCCCCACTGGCATTTTCAGCGTCACTTTCTCATTGGCTCCGAGGAGAAGGAGTCATGGAGACAGCCGAGTCCTAAAAACACAAAAACGAATGCAGGAAAAAGGTGCTTCATTGGCTTTTACAGATAACTCTGTATACCTGCAATTACCAGTCAACAAATATGAAGAAACTCACTGTGCCAGTTTAATTCATTAAACCAAGACTAACTAACCTTCCAGTTAGTCTTAAGTCAGCTCATTTCGTCACAGCTACACCAGTGACTGCCCTCCTCACTTGCCCATAACAACACGGATTATTCCACCACAAACTATGTCAGCTTAACTGGCATTTGGTAGTTTTTGTATTTTACCAACTGGAACCGCACATTCACGCAGGGCTCTCGAACACTAACTTCAGTGTTCTTGTACTGGAGCCAAGAGGCCTAACACATATGGCCGAGGGCTTTGAACCATCCATCCCGCACTACAGTACAGATATTTATAAACCACAGCAGAGCCTCTTGATTGAAGAGCACATGTTTCTACTCTTCTGCGCCGACACCCCTCCCCATGCTCGGCACTACCTCCCCTTAAAGGCACTATTGTTTACTAGTCACACTGGGGGAGAGGACGGAGCGTTGTGCTATACTCTCTCTCAGCCTCTCTGCTGTTTGACTTTTTTTCCTCCTCTTCCCACAGAGCCTCTGAGTGAGATATGAGAACCTGAGAAACACTTGAGCAAAAGTAAGCACAGCTGTGCAGCACTGCTCTCACGTGGAGCCTATAGTATGACCAGCACGTGTTTACATATGGTACTGCATATATTCTGTGTGTGACAAAGGAAAAGAAAGAAAGGAAGAAGAAAGTTAGCACGTGTTCGCAGTACAGCCCTACTGGGTGTGTGTTTGAGAGAGAGAGAGAGAGAGAGAGAGAGAGAGAGAGAGAGAGAGAGAGAGAGAGACATCAGAATGAGTGCAGCTGTTGGGGATTTGCTGTGAGAGGCTTAAGTCCCGGCTGTGTCTCGTCCTCTCTGATCGACCTAGCGGTTCAGTGTCAGGTACCACAAACCAAGTGAACGATACACTGCAGGTCTGTACACTATAGAGTTATTGTATTCAGTGCTGCTGATGAATAGGTCTCACACGCAGAGATAAAGACGCGTTTGCAAAGGCTACCATTCTGCATTTACACAGCAGAAATGAGGCGTGCCTCTTATGTTCTATAGCTAAATAGCTTCAAATCCGTCAGCCTCTGTACAGCTATATCTATATCTGAGGGAAGCATTTCATGCATGACCAGATTTATGGAAGACTGGGCTGCGTAACAAATTGTTACCCTTGTGAGTAAAAAACTGTGTCCATAGAAGTTGTTGGCAGTTTTACTGCTTCTCGGATGAGAGGTGAAACGTCTTCAAGCAACTTAAAGAAGTCCAGACGCTTTTCTTTGCAAGCTCCTTTGACTACGATGACCTGGATGACTGAGAACCTTCACAGACATTTTGGCAGTTTTACATTTTTTTAATTTTTTTAATTTTTACTTCTTTGATATATTGCGTTTATATTTCCTTGAGGTTAGTAAGACCCCCCCCCCCCCAAAAAAAAACAACAACAAAACAACAAAAAACAAAAAGAAACATCACACCACCCCCTATAAGCAAGCACTTTGTGACAGTAGGAAGGAAATACACTCTTCTAACATGAGGAAACCTTTACCACAAGCAGGATCAGGAAGGGGCAGCCATCTGCTGTGACCGGTTGGGCATGACAGGAGGAAGACAGGACAAAAGATTCATGATGGGAGAGATATTTAATAATTAATAAAGATTAAATGTGATTTAGTGATGTATTAACAGAGGTACTGAAAACAGACTGAATGAGCAACAGGAAGCCCCCCCTAGCAGCCTAAGCCTGTTGCAGCATTACTAAAGAAGGGTTCAGTGTCACCTGATCCATCCCTTGCAGCGTTCAGGATCAACTGAAGGCTCTTCAAGGAGTTTTTAAAGCAACCTGATTATAACGAATTACAGTAGCTCAGCCTAGAAGTGAGGCACAGGTTACACATCATTTATCTACCTTTGTTTATTTTCAATTAATTTTTTAACTTGAAAATGTCAAACTGTGCCTATTTTTGTGGTTTAAGAATGTTGCAAATTGATAAATACTCACATAAAGGACGTTGGTAAATGATTAAGCTTCAGTTTAACACTTCAGTAGGTTGTCCATCAAACACAAACCACACAGTGTTATCAGGCTAAAGGGTCGCACACCCATGTTTAGCTGCAAAGCGTGGGGGTTTCTGCTCTGATAGCCAAGAGGTATGTTATATGAGGATTTGGTTCAAATAAGCTAGATTTTTCACAGCGTTTTGAGAAATATTGTAGTAAATGAAGTTAAGACAGCAAATATTTGAAATCTTGATGTTTCATCATTGCTTGGCTGATTTTTTTTTTTTTTTGCAAGTACCTGGGTTTCCTGTGCTTCATTACATATCTTGACAAGTTGGTGGGGTATTAGTTAAGTTATTAGCTAGTGCTACCATGCTGAAAAAGACAGCTGCTAATTAGCGCCAAGTAACATATAAACAAAGTATCACTCACCAAAACTGGTGCTCAGAATTTTTGAAAAGGTACAATTATTTGCACAGCAAGTCAGTATTTGTCACACAGTTGTAGGGCTGGGAGATATGGCCTAAAATCCATATCATGGTATAATTTGAAGCATGTGCGGTAACGATATATATTGCGATATATTCTTTTCTTCTGTATAACGTATTTTACAAAGTATAAGGCACACTTAAAATCCTTTAATTTTCTCAAAAATCGACAGTGTGCCTTATGTATGAATTCTGGTTGTGCTTACTGACCTCAAACATATTTTATGTGGTACACGGCGCTCAAAAATCTGTCAAAAATGCTTTAGTACGACTTTGGTAAGCTATGAAGCCACACCGCCTCGGAGCATTACGGCTACCGTAGTCAGGAGCCTGGTAATCTGGGTCCAAAACTCCATCTTCTTCAGGTCCCAAAGTCAAAGGAACACTGCGGCATTACTGACAGTTAAAAACTGTCTAAATTATTTCATCTTTAATAAAATGATCAGCGTTGCTGCTTTACCAGTTGTAACAATTAAGTTTAACATCCAGGCATCCATGAAAACAGAATTTATTAAATTCAACGGAGTTAGAAGTTAGCAGGAAGTTAGCTCGCTGGTTTCCACCTAAACATGACATGCCATGTTCTGACTGAGAGATATCTGAAGAAATTCAAACGTACAGCTCTGCTATCACTTCCAACATAAATGAGGACAGAAAACTAAGCAGTGACGTTTGTAGGGTTATTGAAGTTGGACTAGCTGGTATATAATAATGTCCTACGTGATTGCTAGCAAAACAGCTATGTTAGCATAACATTAGCACAGTGAAGCTGAAGGATGAACGTTAACTTTTTTCCACTCGATAAAAGTTAACGTGAGGGTTCTGCTGGTTAGGGACAAATGCAATTGCATAGCAGGATGCTATAAACGGACCAAACTTCAGTCAGGAGAACAACTAAGATAATCCATCCACAATACGAGGTTAGTCATTAATATACAGCAACAACATGGGAATAGAGCAGCTGCGAGGGAATTCGGCATTAATGAATCAATGGTAGGGAAGTGGAGGAAGCGCAGTTTTTGACTTTCCTCATATTCCAGAAGTGCTTTGTCTCTTTGCTATTACTGTCGCCCGGTGTTCTGGGAATCCATCCTACCCGAAAAAACATCCTACCCAATGTTAGATGATGTTGTTTGCAGCCGCTGCAACCAGGCGCAGCTTGATAATGACACCATCAACATGTGCTATTGCGGTAGAGCGGTATAGTAAAAATCTACTGCTGGCCAAATTTATATCGTTTCTACCATATACCGTTTATACCGCCCACCCCTACACAGTTGCATGAAAAGACACAAAATGAGAGATGCAGATGAAGTCTGGAACATAGCTAGCTGTTACAGCTCCGTCCACCTGTAATTTTAAGGCTTAATAATATTTAAAACGGAGGTGTTAACAAATCAGATCCTGCACAGCTGGTGTGAGGGCAGTAATTTTTCTATAAATACCAAAACCATGTTTTAACATGGGAGGGTATGGTTATTGAGTTGCTGTTGGAGCCAGCCTCAAATGGCCAATCCAGAAAGTGCAGCTTTGTGCTCTTACTGGTTAGCTTCATCACAAGTGGCTTCTTTTTCTTCTTTTTTCACAGTTATTCTTCAGCTGTTTGTATTAATATACAAACAGCTATGTCTGATTTGGTCACATTTATACATATTTTTTGTAAATTATATTTTTTTAAATCCTCTAATAGTGTAAATTCCTGATATCTTGATATCTAGCTTAAACTTACTTAAACTCAGTGACTGCACGCATCATGTCCTCATCTCTGTTATCACTTGGCTTTGTTTCAGGCAGAGAAAAAGGCCAAACAAATGTCAGCAATGAACGCGATGAAGGATCACGAGGATAATGAAACAGAGACCCGGAATGAAGAGGTCTCAATAATCAAACACCCACAGCCTTCAAAGCAGCAGCCGCAGCAGCAGCTGCAGCCGCAGCCACACACTAAGTCTCAGTCACAGCCTCAGTATCAACAGCAATCACCGCTGGTGCTGCCACAGCAACAGCAACATCTGCAACATCAGCAGCCACCTCAGCAGCAGCAACAGCAGCAACAGCCTACTGACCCAGCTTCCCCCACTGTGGCCACGACCCCAGAGCCTGTCGCCATCGAAGGAGAAGACAAGACATCCCCCAAGACTCCAGACACTGAGTCTGAGTATGAGGTAAGATCATTTTGGGTTTCCCACTGACTCGTGTCTGGTTGTAAGCTAGTCTGTACTGGATAAAGGATCAAGTTGACGGTGAGGGTTCATCTTTATCATGCAAGGTAGCCGGTCACGTTCTGGGAATGTATTCATTTCAGATATTTACATAATTTCTTCTGGGATTGTTAAGAATTCTGATTGTGACATCTGCAAACTTTAAAGGGCAAACGAAGCATTCAAATAAATGACAGGTTTTTAAATATGCACTAATTTAACGGTTATTTGGAGTAGATATGTGTAAATCAATTACTTAATTCGGCAATTATTCAACCTATTTTCATAAGCTGTACTTTTTTCATAGTTTTCTCCCACATAAAAATCCCTAGCATTGTTAATTTTATGGGAAAGTGAGTTTAGCTTTCTCAGAAAAAAAAGGTGATTTGTGATGTTGCTACGGTCACCATTTTCATATAAACTTTTTTATCTAAGCGATCTAACCATCCAAAAAGTAAAAAATATCCCTAGACAGGCTGTTGAAAAAAGGTTTCACAACTCTGCCCACAAGTCATAGCAGAGGGGATGATTTGTCTTTTCTTTTGGCTGCAGGACGGTCGTGGTTTTGGCATCGGCGAGCTGGTTTGGGGGAAGCTCCGAGGATTCTCTTGGTGGCCAGGCCGCATCGTATCCTGGTGGATGACGGGACGTAGCAGAGCTGCTGAGGGAACCAGATGGGTCATGTGGTTTGGAGATGGAAAATTCTCAGTGGTGAGTCTTTAGAGCCAACATTAATATTGCTGTTAGGTCTTTTTTTTTTTCTTCTTCAAGCAAAACAGACGTCTGTTTATAGTGACAGCCACAGACTTTATAATGAGCTTATTGGTTTTATTTACTCAGCCAGATGATCCTTTAGAATATAAACAGAAAACTCAATGTCTGGAAAGTTTTTTTTACCTCAACACGATTCCTTTAAACATGCGGTGTAAACAATCGTTTATTTTTATGTGTATTTTCACAGGTTTGTGTAGAGAAACTATTGCCTTTAAGTTCCTTTAACAATGCCTTTCACCAACCAACTTACAACAAGCAGCCCATGTACAGGAAAGCCATCTACGAAGTCTTACAGGTGAGCATGGGAGAAGATTTTAGGGCACAGCTTTCGTTGTAGTTAAACCTTTAAACTTACAAAGCGAATGTATCTGACATTCATATTTTTTACATGTTTTCAATCTTTCATGTAAAGACTTCAATATCTGCTGTGGCATTAAACCAAAGCCTACTGACACTTAGCTTGGCATAGCATAAAGACTTGAAGTAGGGTTGAAGCAGCTGCAATGGTTCTTTAGAAAGGCCACGAATATTAACATGGCACATCTTGTTTGTGTCTTTGTGTCTTTTTGCAGATATAGAATAAGAAGTAACTTTATTCCATGTTCCCCAGTCTTTTTGAGCATCTCAGGAAGAGGGTGTTTAAGAAGCTTTATGAAAATTGCAGAAACGTTTCTGCAATTACCATAATTTGGAGAGCCAAATGCAAAAAAAACGAAGAAGTAATTTCAAAATAAGTGCTCTCAATGAGAAATTCAAGAGCAAAATTATCCAAGACGCCCCGCAGGCAGAGCCCTCTCAAATTATCCACCCATTTTAGGCATAGTATTAAACTGAATGGGACTAAAGGATCTTTACTGTAAATATCATAGAATAAGAATACATTTTTGGTGAAAAACGTTTTGAATGTGTTTGTAGGTGGCTAGCAGCCGGGCAGGAAAGGCCTTCATGGCCTGCCCTGACAGTGATGAGACAGAGACCTCAAAATCCGTGGAAATGTTAAACAAGCAGATGATTGAGTGGGCTATGACAGGATTTCAGCCCACTGGACCCAAAGGCTTGGAGCCACCAGAAGGTAAGATGACATCACTATTTTAACCCTATTTATGACCCATCTGGAAGAGTTAAAAATTGCTATATATAATGGCATAGCAGATGTATTCTATACACTTGGTAATTAAAAACATCCGCAACATTTGGTGCAATATTAATTTTTTGCTTCTGTTGTGCACCCCAGAGGAGCGTAACCCATACAAAGAAGTTTATCCTGAAATATGGGTAGAGCCAGAAGCAGCAGCCTATACACCTCCTCCAGCCAAAAAGCCTCGCAAAAGCACAGCAGAGAAACCTAAGGTCAAGGACATCATTGATGAGAGAACACGAGGTAACGTGCCTCATTTATTGGGTTATATTGGAGTCATGAACTCTGTGTCCAGCTCCTTGGGGAGGTTGCGGCGGTGTTTTACATCACTATAGTGGTCTGGGAGGTAAGGTATGGACAAGAGATCCATTAGCAAGTGACGTGAGAAGGCAAAAAGATTCAGGTTGCTCTAAAGACAATAAATAGATGCTATCTAGAAAGACAGTGCCCTGTCTTTATTACAAGTATTACTCATCCTCCATCTCTTCCAAATGACAAAAGAAGAAAAGAAGTGTAATTCAATTCAGTTTTATTTATGTAGTGTCAAATCACAACAACAGTTGCCTTAAGGTGCTTTATAATGTAAAATAAAGATCCCATAGTAATACAAGGAAAACAGAGGAAACTCCAACAATAACATAACCAAATGTGTATTTTGACTGACCCATCAAATGATCTGTTTGTTACATTATTTCTTTATATATCATGAAAGCATTTGTGCTGTCAGGGATTATCATGATGACTGATACTTTAAGTGGTTTCTGACATGTTTGGCGAAGAAGTTTTATTTGCGTGATACCATCTTAAATTTTAGTTTTATTTATTTTTTCCTATATTTTTTTGAATTTACTTCTAAAAAAAAATGAAGGAACTAACACAGATTCTTCATTTCTCTGTGTCAGAGCGACTTGTTTATGAAGTGAGACAAAAGTGCCGCAGCTTAGAGGGTAAGTGAAATGTTCTCTGTGTGCTCTTGCTTGTAGCAACACCGAAGGGCCTCTCAGGAGGCACCGACACACCTCTTATTTGTACCTGTTGTTGACGGGCAAAGCCGATTATATGCATGCATCTGTGTTCACAAAATAACAATGAGTAAAAAGGAGGAAATGGGTTTTCTGTAATTTCATCTACCTTATTAGCAGCTTTGTTTGTTTTCTCATAACCTGATAGCTAAACTAACTAGATCTAGACCTACAGTTGTGGTCAATGTTTACACACACTTATGGTCATGAATAATAATTTGGGGCTCAAACATACATTTCATTCAGTCTCTCTTAGCAAGTTGCAGCTCAACCCTTCTGAGCCATCAGCAAGCTTCTGGAATAATTATGGCTGTATATCTGACTGGTCTTCTAGGTGGTATTGACAGAATTAATTTAAATTTGTTGGTTTTCTGGTACATAGTACACACATTTTCAATAAGGTTCAGGTTGAAGCCTTGGGAAGGCCATTCCAGAAGCTTAATTTTAGCCTGCTTTATTCATTTTAAAATCAGTTTTGATGTGTATATGGGATCGTTGCCCAGCTGGGACATCCAATTATATCAAAGTTTCAACCAGCTGTTGATTTGAGGTGAAGTTAAAGGATTGGGTGATGCTACCACCATGCTTGACAATTACCTGACAGCTGGATAGCGAAGTGTTTCTAGGTTGAAACACTCACCCTTACTACTCTAAGCATGCTTCTTGGTGTTGTTGCCTATCCTCTGTAATGCTGGCAAAGAGAAACTACCAGTCATGATCACTAATGAGAAGCTAACAGGCCTTGTCAAGTTAAAAGACATTGCAGAACCTTCAGCACCAGTTATTCAAAGATTTATACTTCTGACCATGTTTAGATAAGAGAAAATCCAAAATAAATTAAAACTAGTGCAAAGATGTATGCTGTACAATCATCCCACTCTGGAAAAATAACAGGAAATCATTAAAAGTACAAATTACCCTTCGTGTCCCATGATGAGCGTATGGAAACTTCTGACCACAACTGTATCTCATAGATATTCAAATTGTTTCACAGAGGTGTGAGTTCTGGGTGCTCACTCCTCTCAGAGCTCTGCCTGTTAAATACTAACACGGTGTTTCTCTTACTGCAGACATCTGTATCTCCTGTGGAAGTCTGAATGTTAGCCTTGAGCACCCTCTTTTTGCTGGAGGAATGTGTCAGAGTTGCAAGGTAAGCTGCGATAAAGGCTTAGACTTGGACTCAACTAGGGTGTTATTAAAAGTCACAGCAAATTTCAAAGCTCCTAATAAACAACACATATTTTAAGCAGCAACTGATGTGACCCCGTGTCTTAGAGTATATTTTGGATATTTTTTGCAGAACTGCTTCCTAGAATGTGCTTATCAATACGACGACGACGGCTACCAGTCATACTGCACTATCTGCTGCGGGGGACGAGAGGTGCTCATGTGTGGGAACAACAATTGTTGTCGGTAAGGTTTCTACCATGAGAGCCTGTGTTGCAATTACATGGATGTGCATGGAGTCTGGTAGAACTAGATTTAGTCTACATATACAGCTACACATTACCTGACCTGAGCACAGCCTTTTTTATAGTTTTGATATGCTAAGTGGTCAAGACAACAGTTGGATTTTTAAAACCATAGCTATGAGGGATTTTCTTGGTGCAAAGTTGACAGAAAGGCAACAGTAACTGAAATAACTGCTCATTACAACCGAGGTATGTAGAAGAGCATCTCTAAATTTGCAACACGTCAAACCTTGAAGCATTAGAAGCCTACAGCAGCAGAAGACCACACCAAGTGGCACTCCTGTGAGCTAAGAACAAGAAACTAAAAATAAACTGACCTTCCATAACCTAAATCTACTGTTAGTAGAGTATGAAAGGGTCTTTAAAAAAAAACTTGCAATCTTTGCAAAATTCTCATATGCTTTCTTCACACCTTTATTACAGGATAATCAGCCAATTGACTTGTTCTCAAATCTCTTTGTCATAAAAAATACTCATAAAATTATTGCTTAATAAAGAACATTGTGAAGCTGTGTAGCAAATAACAGCAATATTTTTTATTTTTGAATAGGACAGTACTTGCCTCTAAATTTACAGTTGTTTTTCCAGCACAGATAGCAGGATTGTGCGTTCACTGCTCATATTGGATGCACAATAAAGGCTTTGTGATGGGTCACTAATCTCGTAGCAGTGATGTAAGGCAACATCGTGGCAGCCCAGTGGAGAACTTGCTGATAGCAAATATTTTATAAAGTGTGGTTGCACTGTATTTCTGTTGAATAGAGCATTGTTAAACATAAAGAAACAGACTGGTGTTCTCACACAGTTAGATTGAAGTCTAGAAAAATACCATTGAGAACAGATTGAGCTTTGTCAGAGGCATGCTGGACTGATCACAAACAATGCTATTTTTGGATGGTGGCGTTTGACATTTGGATGACAGTGTTAACGATAACTTGCTGCTTCTCAAAACCCACAAACCCCATTAAAAACCTTTTTATCTACACCTTTTAAATACAAAACAAAGAGTGATAATGAAACTGTGCACCTTTTCTTGACCTATGACCAGTGTTGGTCAAGTTACTTGAAAAAAGTAATCAGTAACTAATTACCGATTACTTCCCCCCAAAAGTAATCCCGTTACTTTACTGATTACTTTTTCAAAAGTAATTAATTACTTAGTTAGTTAGTTACTTTTTAAAAACACGATTTACAACCTGAAGAGGTGATAAAGTGATAGATCTTTCAGCCCATTTCTACTTTTTCTGCATAATCCATCATACAAAATGTAATCAAATGGAAAAGTCTCTTGTTTTTAACTTGTTTTATCAGTTTTAATCTTTTAACTTTATGCATCAAGCAAAAATTTAATTATATGCAACAGTCTCTGACTGGAAGAAATTTGCTTAACATTTAAACTTATTTTCTGCACATTCCAGCACATAAAATATTTTTTTTTTGTGTTTACACTCAGTCTTTCAAATAGATGCAAGTAAAACACAGCAGAAAATAAATAACATCAAAGACTAGCGGTCCTGTTGCTCTATTTTCACCTGTAAAGCAGGAGTAGCGTAGGCGGAGGTTTACCCTGGTGCAGGTGTGCCGCGGCGGTCAGTTGAAGAATCCGCGAGTTTCTCAGCGTACTTGGTGCTTGCTTGGAAGTTTAGGGGCTTTTTTCGCTATAAAGAGAAGTTTTCTTCCCAGGCACAACGGACGCTAATGTTTTTGTCACTTTTTATGGAATTAAACTCAAAATAAGGTCAGTACTTCCACGCTGCACGCTCATACTCTCTCCTGCATTCGATATATGATCCATTGTTGATCTGCACACAGCTGTTGTCACGAACGTCGCACTTGCTTACGTCACTGTCATGAGACATTCTGGCAAAAAAATCACGGTTTTAGTAACGCAGCGTTCCTACGGGAAAGTAACGGTAATCTAATTACCGTTTTCGCAATAGTAATCCCTTACTTTACTCGTTACCTGAAAAAAGTAATCAGATTACAGTAACACATTACAAGTAACGCGTTACTGCCCATCTCTGCCTATGACTGATAAACTGATTTAGAGAAGAGAGACATGTCGGTCATGTTCATATTGTATAATTTTATTTGAAGGACACAGATGTTCTCCTACGATCATTACGGTCAGCAAACCCCCTCATACGAGTCCTTGGTACTCATTGGTTGATTTTCTTTTTGATCTCAGCCTGTAAATATTTGGATTTGTATCTTGCCTACTTGATGAAGTATTCAAACCACCTTTGTGGTTGTTCTTATTACAGCAGGTGACTCCAGGGCAACATTTGTCTGTCATAAAACACACACTGATAGCTGGTGACTTTGGAGGCCATGTGAATACAGTGAAGATGCTGAAGATGCAATTTTGAGAATATTTGTTCTTTATATCAAGGTACATCAAAAGATGGGTACACTGTGATCATAAAGGGGGTGGATGAGGTCAGCAAGAGTAATCAAACTGGCTATAGTGTTAAGACCAAATTCTGACCTTACCATCTGAACGTAGCAGAAGAAATTGAGACTCATCAGACCAGGCAACAGTTCTCCAGTCATCTAGTTTCCCATTTTGGTGAGCGTCACTTTCCTGTTCTTAGCTGACAGAAGTGGCACGCGATGTGGTCTTCTACCACTCCAGCCCATTAACCTTCAAGGTTTCAAGTGTCGCATGTTGAAAGATGCTCTTCGGCATACCTTGGTTGTAACAAGTGGTTATATGAGTAACAGTTGGTTTCCTATTAGTGTGAAGCAGTCTGGCTGTTCTCCTTTGACCTCTGATATCAACAAGGCATCTTTACCCAGAGAACTGCTGCTCACTGGATATTTCATCTTTTATGGACCATCCTCTGTATTCCTTTCTAATCTGGTAGTAAACTATGCCAGATGCATCTGGCTTTGCTGTTGGCTAATAATTACCCTGGCAATCAAATTTTCAACAGAGGCATTGTACCACTCTGTCTTCTGTGTGTGTGGGGCTCTTTCAGTCACAACTTCCTGTTCCTCTTCTAGTTAAACCATTACTGCTAGACCAAACATTTCTCCTTACAGTCCTACTGGCACAAACGAAAGACTTAACAGACTTATTTGTTGAGGTTTTTTTTTAAACGATTTTTCCTAAAAATGCAAATAACCTGTGTAGTGGAGGTATCAGGGATAGACACGGTTATGGCACTGATTCACTCCTTAGCACTACGGTCACCCTGGTGTGTCAGCCAGAACACCACTTCACCAATTCTCCCAGAGCATGGAAAAAAAAGCTTAAGGTTTGGTTTGAGGAAGTTTATTTCCTTCACAGCTCAATTCCTGTGGCTGTAATCGTGTGTGTGTGTGTGTGTGTGTGTGTGTGTGTGTGTGTGTGTGTGTGTGTGGTTTTCTACTAAAGAAGTACATAATACAAATAAGTGATAAATAAGGTGAAGAGATAAGTGACATATCCAGATATATGCATAATACAATATAGTTAACATAACCATACATAAAGAAAAGAGCACAGTAGTGTAAGGCAGTAATGCTAAACACAAAAAGATGTATCTCTACATAAATCTATCCTTTAAATGAGCAGAGCAATGTAGTACACTTCTACTGCTTACACTATGCCAGCTAAATAGCATTACTGCGAGGTTAAGTTAACGTCAGTACAGAGGAACTACTTCCGGTAGCTGTAGAAAATAAAGGCTTCTCCGTTATAATCCGCCGTAATGCTTTTATTGCGAAGGGGAAGTAGGAACATGGTACTTCCGGTCGAACTATGCTCGGCATTTAAGCGGTACTCTGAACAAATTATCCGCTATAAACTCCGTATTTTAAATTAAAGAATCACGAGCACCACATATACCATACAGGGAAGCTCTGATAACACAGGAATTACGTTAGAAACATATTGAGGATCGTACATGTGGCAAACTAAAGCCAAACCAGGATGAAGTAACTGACATCAATTAGCATGTGAAATGAGGGTCAACTCACGCATTGCGTGCGTGGCCTATACCGCTCCAACTATGAACTACATTAGCTCCTAAATGGTAAATATATCACAGTATCAACACAAATAAAGCAAAATGCAACACAGGTTAATAATCACTTACCATTCACGCACACATCATATCCCACAGGAATCAGTGCACCCCCACCTGACCAACACTGCTCATCCGACACTAAAACTGCCCACCTTACTAACTATATGACATCACCAGACGGTGGGCTGGCTCAAACTAACAGAAGGTTAAATGCTAAATGAACAGCATATAAACTTGTATATAAACTTACAAACACCTGTATAAGAATTCAAATATAGTTATCCTATGAACTTTGGGGCCTTTTAGACAACCTTGGTAAACCCCATCAAAGATGCAGAAGTTTTTTCACTTTTTTCACTTGCACGTAGGGTTGCCAACTCCCTGAAAAATAAATAAGGGACACCTCGTGGCCAGGGCCGGGCAACCCAGTTGTCTTCACCCTTCCCAGTGTGGTAGCTCTTTTTTTTGTGTGTGAAATTATTTTTTAACCATTTGACTTGAATTTGATTTAAGCAGATGCATATTCTTTGTGATATGACCATATGGGAAACAAATGATCATTTAGCCATTTATTTTTAGCTCAAAATGACAACATTAACACAATAAAACAGGTCTCTTTCTTAAACAGAAGCCTGTCATGCTTAACTTTTGAGAATATAAGTAAATCTTTCTTTAAAAGAACTCTGTCCTGCTTAACTTAAAATTATATAAATTAATAGAAAGCAATAGAATGAAAAATATTCTTGTAACTGTGCACATATAGTGCATTTAGTACAATTGGCTTCAGTTGAGGTATTATTTCAGCTTTTCTAATGCTAATCAGCTGCTTCTGTTTGTAAACCTGCTTGTTCCCATGATTACGCATCTTAACTCATCATCATTATTAATCTATGTATTACTTTTATGTATTAGTCATCTATTTGTTGTAATCATCTATCCTTGCAGTTTATTACACAAAATAAATTATATTATCACACTTCTGGCCACATAGCGCTGATATTCACTGCACATGCCCATATTAACCTTAACCAGAAGGTTTAAAAAAAACAAACCAGTGTTTACATACCATATCTGCTTCTGCCGTGGCCTGGTGGACAAGAAATTGGTTAAGGGTTCCCCGAGCTTTCACGCCCCTCTTGTTCTTCATGTGCCCACCACTAGAAGCATGCCTATGGAAAAAGTGCGCCGGCACACAGTGCAGTGCGCTTTAAAGGTGTTATCGTGCACTTTTCCAGCCAGGTGTTTTCCTTTTCCCATTCCTCCCTGTACTTTTGCAGCCTTTTTTTTTTCTTTCTCTGAGCGAACAAACATTGCTGCTCTAATGCTGGGCTTACACTGTGCGATTTTTGGCCCATTTTGAGACGATTTTTGAGTCGTGCGACGGTTTTGGCGATCGGCCCGATTTTGGCCTTCATCGTGCATCGTGTAGTATACGTGGGGTAACGAGACACGATTAACACCTCACGACCACTGCTCACGCGCAAACACGTAAACGTCGGTGAAAAAGGTGGAGCAGCACAGCTGTGCAGCGTGTGATCTGGACACAAGCGATGGAGGCACAACTTGTAGAACTTTGGAAAGCTCATCCGAGCCTTTTCGATGTGGCCTCACAAAATTATCACGACCACAACAACTGTGAAAATAGTTGGATTTACATTGCTGCTCAATCACAGCTGCCTGATCAATGTTTTTCATTAGCAATTTAGCAAAGTTGATGGTGGTGGTGTGTCTGTGTGAGTGAAAGACAGAGGGAGAGCGAGCGACAGATTTTCTGTTATAACCTTCATTTTATGGAGGCACAGTGTGAGCACTCAGGTCGCATCAGAGTATCGGGTCGTATAGTGTGAGACCCTGCATCGTGACCTATGAACTTCTAACCCCTGCGAGTCAATCGTGCAGTTTGAGCAGGAGCTGAATAACGCGACTGAAAAAATCGCACAGTGTTTGCCCAGCTTTAGGTGTACTGTCGTCCGAGACTTGCACTGCAGTGTTGGCATTTGTTTCCCTGTTGGCCATGCTTGTTGTTGTGGTCATCTGTTGTCTTCCGGTATTTTCTCCGCAAGCGACCTTTCCTCGACCAATGAGATGAGCAGTAATCTGAATTGTCATACTCGAATTGTCATAAGTGTGCTGTCAGCTCATTGGTCACAAAGCAGGAGAGGGGCTGGGAATTATGTTTTCAAACAAAGCGTTAATTCCATTAACATTTATAGACTACTTTTGATTCTCACTGTATTACGGGACAAAGTGCGTCCCTTATTAGCTCAATACGGGACGTGTACTTTTGTTTCTAAATACGGGACGATTCCGTTTTTTAAGGGACGGTTGGCAACCCTACTTGCACGTTACATTTCCTGCATTTTCATTCTCAGATCAAGACCATTTTAAACAGTTAATAGTTTATTTTGGTCTTCTAATGGAAAACATGCAGTCTACCACATTTAGTCACTTAGTCGCTTACTGTACTTAACACTGTGACTGCTTTTAATAGGTAGGGTTAGTTATCATTTTAGAAGTAAATGTCCTTGTCCTTGGCGCAGGTGCTTCTGTGTGGAGTGCGTGGACCTTCTTGTTGGTCAAGGAGCCGCTCACGCTGCCATCAAAGAAGACCCATGGAACTGCTACATGTGCGGTCAGAAGGGTGTGTTTGGTCTGCTGGAGCGTCGTAGCGATTGGCCCAGCCGTCTCCAGCACTTCTTTGCAAATAATCACGATCAAGATTTTGTAAGTAATTGACCTCTAGGCCATAAATCTCAATCACCATGTGACTGAGGAGTCTGTCTCCTTTGTGTCTCACTGTTGCCCCCTCTGCCAATAATTTCAGGATCCACCAAAGCTTTACGCCCCAGTCATGGCGGAGAAGAGGAAGCCCATTCGTGTCCTTTCACTATTTGATGGCATAGCCACAGGTTAGAAAATTTTCCCCAGTTTGTGTTATAAAAAATTTGATGGATTTACTTTCTTCCTTTATTAGTCAGAACATTGCCATGTATCAGTCACTACACATGCCATATATAACTAGCTATACTAGCTATATAGCTATTAGCTATATTTGTGTTAGTCATCATAGGATTTATTTATTAGGGATAGCTCCAGTTCTTCAGATCAGATCATTTAAGTGGACAGATTTTTTTAGACTGTCTCCTTCTTTTCTTTTTTAAAAAAAAAATCTTTAACTACACCCTGCACAGGACTGCTGGTGCTCAAAGAACTTGGCATCCAAGTGGGTCGCTACATAGCTTCTGAAGTGTGTGAAGACTCCATCACTGTGGGTATCGTCCGGCATGAGGGTCGCATCATGTACGTTGGAGACGTGCGGAACATCACGCGCAAACATGTGAGTGAGAATAAGTTACTAAAAAGAGACACCAAACTTGCAAATGGCTACAAACTTACAAATATATCATTACTCGCTTGTACTAAGTAGCATTGGATATCATTTTCTATTGTGGAAAACCAGAAATTAAATGCAGACTCTTCTAAACAGAAAATGTGGATATTTTTAAGGCTTAACAGTATGGTTGTTTACCAGATGTACAAATGACCGACAGTGAGACCATGCTTTTCTTTGACACTTTACCTTGTCATATTAAAAGCCAAGAGTGGAGAGTAAAAGACAATAAAGACATTATAAAACATTCAAACTCTAGCATCTGTATAGCTAGTTTTATTAGTATTTACTACTCACTAGGAGTACATTGCTGGTTCAGTTCATAACCCTAATCCTGACTCTGATTCTTTTCTCTATACAGATAAACGAGTGGGGTCCTTTTGATCTAGTTATAGGTGGAAGCCCATGCAATGACCTCTCAATAGTCAATCCTGCAAGGAAGGGTCTGTATGGTAAGTTTAAATGAGTCCACTGCTTTTTTGCTTTGCTAATGTATTAGTTGGGAAATTCATTCATATATAAAGTCACTGGCCTAAATAAATCACTAGAATATAAGGAGTTTATGTCTTTTGCTTTGCTTCAGCACCTGGTTTAATACCTCTTTCTGTCTCACAGAGGGCACCGGACGCCTGTTCTTTGAGTTTTACCGACTGCTCCATGAGGCTCGGCCGAAGCAGGGGGAAGACAGGCCTTTCTTCTGGCTCTTTGAAAATGTGGTTGCTATGGGCGTCAGTGACAAGAGGGACATATCTCGCTTTTTAGAGGTTAATTTCTTTACTGATACTTATAATCTCTACCTGCTGTAGGCGGTAGATGTATGATGTGCCGTTGGTGAAGTGGGTATTGTTGGGCTTTGAATGCCCCCTTGTGGCAATAATTCATTATCTTTAGGCAAAAATTATGAGAACGGAGCTCTGACGTCTTGATCTTCATTCAACAGTTTAATATGCCATCTTTAATGCGCTGCAATCTACTCCTAGATGGTGTTTCTGGTTATCTGTTAGGTGAAGCCCTCATTAGCTGTTAGAATACTCTCTTTTTTTTAAATGACTGTCCACTGAGGAAACTGACAATTTTGAAGTTTAATTTTGACTCTTTTCTGTTATATTAACATTGTGCTATATAATAAAATTGTTGTTGTTGTGTGATTACACTTGTATTATTCTGTATGCAATCACAAGCTTTTTACCTTTGTTGCTTCCTGATTGGTGCTTGTTCTTCCTCGTCTCTGTTTTCAGTGTAACCCAGTGATGATCGATGCCAAGGAAGTGTCAGCTGCCCACCGTGCCCGTTACTTCTGGGGTAACCTTCCTGGCATGAACAGGTTGGTGTATGAATGGTGAGAAAAGAAGTAGTATTTAACAAAAAAGTAACACTATAAAGGGACTGCTTATGTCAAATTATATGGTCATGTTACAACAAAGTACAACCTAAATTCTTTAGTCCGTATCAAGTCTTAAAATAATGCAAAAACAAACTAAAAATGAACAACAACACAGAACATGTTACACTATGTTATTACTTGTTTTAGAAAAGTAAGCCCAAAAGAAAAAGTGGTGTGTGAAAAACTAATCACACCCTGTGATTCATTATAACTTTTAGGTGCCATAATTTAAAGTGTTTTGTTTTCTGCATGACTTTATTCGTCTCTCATGTTGCTGTGGAGGAACTTCCTCCAGTTCATTGAGATTTGCAGGCATTTATATGGTAAATTTATGTGGTATAGCATTTCCGCTATTTCCTTTTTTAGTTATTCTGTTTTAGATTTGCTGCTGTACTTGGGATTATTATCGTGTTGCATGACATCATTTTGGCAAGTTTCAGTTGTCAAACAGATGGCCTCACATTTTGCTTTAGAAATCTTTGGTATACAAAGACTCAATGACTTCAACATGCCAAGATCCTGTGGCTGCAAAACAAACCCAAACCATCACCCCTCCACCACCATGCTGACAGTTAGTATGAGGTGTTTGTGCTGATGTGCTGTATTTGGTTTTGTGCATTATAGCCACACATGTCTACTTTGGTCTCATCTGTCCAAAGGACATTGTTCCAGAAGTCTTGTGGTTTGCTCAGATGCATCTTTGCAAATCTAAGTATGCTGCCATATTATTTTTAGAGAGAAGAGGATGTCTCCTGACAACCCTTCCAAGTAAGCCACATTTGTTCAGTGTGTCTTGAACTGTAGAATTTAACTATCTAATTAAGGCCTGTTGAGGCTGAGACGTAGCTCTTGTTTTTTTGTCATTTCTCTGAGCATTGCATGGCCCGCCACTGCTGAGATTGGCAGCTGTCGTGAATGTTTTCTGATCGTGAATAATATTTCTCACTGCAGAATGAGAGACCTCAGACTATTTGGAAACAGCTTCTCTGCTGAAAATAATTGCTGATGTTTTTCCTCTTTGGCATTGTGTTAACACACATGTGAATGTTCCTGATGAACAAACTGCCTAAACCTTTTGTTTTTTAGAGGCGCGTGCTTGCTGATGATCAATGAATCGAGTGAACTTGATTAGCAGCACCTGGCTGCTACTTATTCTCTTAATTCCTGTTGAAGCAGTGTGGAAGAAGAAGTGTGGCTTTAGTTTCTCACGCACTGCTTCTGATTTTTGATTGTTAAATAGATAGTCACACAGTGTGGTACGTCGTGTTTTGTAGGCCCTTTGAGGTTTTATGTATCATATTTTAAGACCTGCTAAAGACCAGATTATTTTTATTTTTAGTTTATTTATGGGAAAACAGAATTTTAAGGATCATACTGTCTTTTTTACTATGACTATAGATAAGGTAGTGATAGTGAGTCATACATACCCAATTGATTTGGCTTCTTTTTTTTTTTTTTTTTTTAAACTATTCTTGTCCTGGCAGATTATCTTCTGTTTTCTTAATACTGCATTCAAAGCATGGAACAGCAAATTAGATTAGATTATCTCCAAAATCATTGAATCAAAATGAAGTGCCATTATGGCATGGACTGAAACTGATTTCAGTGGCTAGATTAGAAGTAATTTCATACTTCCGGCAGAGATTTTTTTTCTTGTTTAAAATTGCAGATAAAGGCCGATGAAGTAGAGACTTGTAGTATAGCAGATCCAATTCAGTCTATTATGCCCTACTTTCACATTTGTAAATGGGACCTTTTACTACCTCCAGCTCCATATTTTTATTCTTGGACTCTATTAGTGTAGCTTTGCATGATTCACAGTTCAAATAATAATTTGTTATCTTTTTCTGGGCCCCGTTCCTCCCTTGGCTCAATCCCAATGTCTACATTTACAGACTCAGAGACTTAGGCTATCCCACTGTGACATTATGAAATGCATGACGAGCTCTCTGCTAGACATTATCCATAGTTTCACAAGTCTGCATTTCTGTAGACTTTGCTCAAGACAGTTACTCAGAGTTCGTAGCAATGTGGCATTAAATGCAAGGTTGTAGGGGAGGGCTTAGAAAAAGGTAGAGTAATCAGAGGAATGTAGCATGAGCTTTATTGCACACCTAGTAATGAGAAAATTGACTGTTTTTGACTGTTACGTTTTGTCCACAAAGATTTGAACTCACCAGGGTTATTTGTACCTGCACTCATTCCATCCATCCTAACACGGAGACACGGACAACCATTCACACCTATTAACAATTTAGAATCACCAGTTCCTCCCACAGCCCGTGTCCATCTAGAAAGGTCCGTGGCGCCCAGCTGGTGAACTCAAACCCACATCCTTCTTGCTTTGAGGTGACGGTGCTGACAACTGTGTCACCATACCCTGACCTGTTATGTAATTGTTTGAAACTTAGTCCAAGTTTAATGTGAGCATCCACTATTGTAAGTGTATATAGGGACCAGGAAAAAAATGAAATGCATGTTAGATTTAAATAATGTGTTAAAGTGTAAATTGTTCATTCTCTCTTTCAGGCCTTTGACTGCCATGTGCACTGATAGGCTGGAACTCCAGGACTGTTTAGAACATGGCAGGACAGCCAAGGTACTTGCAGCTTGTCTTTCAATACACATCATGTTCGCTCACCGGTGCACACAAAAACTCAGTCTGGCAGCTGTAATCTCTCTGGTTAATCTGATTCATTCAATTTAAATACAGTAGAATATCAGAGACACTAAAGCTGGTGTGGCAGAATGTCATACTAGAGGATGGTTCTTTACATACAAGGGGGGAGAAAGCGAGTCAGAAACCCAGGGCACAAAGATGAAGCAGGTCTGATCAGAAAGGGTTTATTCCAGGCCAGGGAGCAAGAATGACAAACAATTCTAAAAGCCATAAGCAATAAAATGTTGTAGAGGTACTAAAATTCCCAGGAATAAACAAACCCAATATCAAAAAAACCTTATAAAACGCAATGTTCTATGCGCTCTAAAATCCCACCCCGTCACACAATGTAACTGTCCCACAGCCAAGGACGAATGTTTGTTAGGTGTTCACAATCAGGGCAGAAATCCCTCTTCCAGAGCGGGGTCCATACCAGCCTCGTCCCAGGAAGACCAGGAGAAGCCTTCTATCCCCCTCTCGTCCCATCACATCCCTGCCCAGCTCGAATTCTGCACTGGAGTCCGTTGCTTGATGCCACCACGGCTCCCCTTGCATCATTGCCCTGTAAGTAAACAAACAGGGGCCAGAACCATCGTCCCGGAAGTTGGCCTGGCTTATAGCCATGGCGACCGTCTCCCAACACGGCTGCACAACGGTGGAGACACTACTCACAAATGCAGCCAGAGGTATACCTCTGCCCTGCTGTCAATCCCACATGTTGTCTCCCACTGTCGCCATTCCTACTGTTGGGACTGGGTCGCCACGTCACGCTGACCAGACTGTCTCCAGATGAGGTGTCGCACCCCCATGATCAGGCAGCGGGTCCCTCTTTATCAGCTGGCCTCCATGCATTCCTCTCCATATCTGGGGCCTCTCTCCTTCCAGTGCTCAGCTAGCTTCCTTTTAATAGGTCCTTTAAACAGCTGATAGGCCGCCTTTGGACACACCCATGCCTCAGGAGGTGACCGCTATCAGCTAATTTGTCCCATGCCCAGCCAGTCCACAGTGGATTAAAACATGATCGGAAGGTCGGGGGTTCAAATCCACCGAACGGCTACCCCGAGTTACCCCTGAGCAAGGTACCGTCCCTACACACTGCTCCCCGGGCGCTGGATTGGCTGCCCACTGCTTCACTGAGTGAATGGGTTAAATGCAGAGAGTAATTTTCTTACAGAGGATTAATAAAGTATACAGAAAAAACATGCAATACAACCAGAATAAAATCATGCAAATAAAAACTACACTCACAAATAAACACTAGAATCAGAATAAGACCAATATAAAAGATAAATGCAAATTTCCACTGTGTGACATGTTCGGATTTCGTAATACAGTTCATTTGATTCAGGAGTGTAAAACTCTGCACACTGGTGGCTCCATGTGGCAGCTAGATGTAATAGTTTCAAATTGAATTTATCTAACAAAAAAAATCAGCTTTGACATGACTCAGAAACTAAGTTTAAACTAAAAGACAACTTTATTGCAGAGCTTAAACTTCAACAAAGAACAAAGTACTCCATGTCCAAAAAACTAGGAAACAAAACTTTAACGAAAGAAGACACAACCATGAGGGCGGTAAACAAACATGGAAACAATACTGGGCCAGAAAAGGAAACGAGAGGCGGGAATAACCAGGGATTCTTAAACCAGCCTAAAACCAAGAAACCAGAACACGAAAAACTCACAACAGAGGACTAAAACCAATACAGAATCATGAAATAAAGATCAAAAATACAAAGCTGAAGACTCAAAACTCTGGGACCAAGATCCAGGGACAGGTCTTCACATGGAACCTCATGTTTACCAAATTATCTGATCACGATAACCTCAACATTTTAGAAAAGGTATCTCAGGTTTTGTAAGTTTGTTACGCAGCAAGGACATAAAAATGGCATAAACAAATTTTTTTTTTATTGTCCTCCAGTTTGGCAAGGTGAGGACTATCACTACCAGGTCTAATTCCATCAAGCAGGGCAAGGACCAGCACTTCCCAGTCTACATGAATGAGAAGGAAGACATACTGTGGTGCACTGAGATGGAGAGGTATGTAAACATAATGATTTCAACTACTGTGTAGGCTTTTTTCAGAGGTCAGAATTTCAAGGTTTTCTTCCTTTGTCTTCCCCTGTCTGCTCGCTGGTTGCACGTGTGGTGTGGATGGTTGCTCACATCAGGGTCTTTGGTTTTCCAGTCCACTATACAGACGTATCCAACATGAGCCGACTGGCGAGGCAGAGGCTGCTGGGCAGATCATGGAGCGTCCCAGTTATCCGCCACCTGTTTGCACCACTCAAAGAGTACTTTGCCTGTGACTGAGCAGTCAAAAAATTAGCTCAGAACCATTTAGTATGAAGTGCCGTAAGGGGCATTATTACTGAAACGCTCTCAGACACACTACTGAACACCAAGGCATTTCAGCTGAACAGGAAGGTGTTTTAGTGTTGCCAACTTAGCAACTTTGTCGCTATATTTAGCGAGTTTTCAGACCCCCTTAGCGACTTTTTTTCTCTAAAAAACGACTAGCGACAAATCTGGCGACTTTTGCTTTTGTTATTAGGAAGACCTATGACCACTTTTTGACGTGAAAGCACATATCTGTCTTACTCCCAACAAGCAGCGGGTGCTGCCGTGGGCACTTCGCCCATGCCAAAGTGCTCACAGGCAGCAGTCGCCCCCAGCTGCTGTCAGAGCAGGAGATGCTGATCCCTACCCATCCAAACTGCAAATGAATCACGCATGAGCAAAGCCGCTGCTCCCACCCTGACTTTAACGCAGTCAGTTCTTCTTTTACTTTTTGTAAATCACAAGGTTTAAAACTACTTAAACACACACAGTGTGTGTGTGTGTGTAACTCCGCCAGAGTGCCTTTTTTGGGTCACTTTTGCCGGTACCAAGCCCGGATAAAGGAGGAGGGTTAGAATTGTGACATTAAAAAAACAATAATTACTCAAAGAATTTAATTTGTAGTTCTAAATATATTCCTAATCCATTTAGGGTGGTTTTTTACCCACTTTATGTCTCTTCCACGATGTTATTTCTCTCTCCTACAACATAGGTTACAATTACATAAGCATGACCAATTATGCAAATTAGGCAATGACCATATTTAGCAACTTCTAGCGACTTTTAGGACAACAACGCTAATAGCGACTTTCCTTACTAAGGATTTGGCAACACTGCCCTATCCAGCTGAAACGCCTTGGTTTTAAGTAGTGTGTGTGACTGCATTTCAGTAGCGTGTGCGAGTACATTTCAGTAGCGTGTGCGAGTACATTTCAGTAGCGTTTGTTAGAGCGTTTCAGTAGTGTGTGTGAGAGATAAAATTTTAGTCGTGTGTGTGAGAGCATTTCAGTAATAATGTCCCTTACGGTACCTCATAATTTAGGAACCACAACTGTATGTTGTGACTAGAAACAAGAGCCTTGATCCTCAAATTATACTCTGGTATAATTTGTAAGCGAAACATAGATTTCACATTATTTCTTGTATTTGAATTGCAATTCTTATTCTATTTAATTTTATATATCATTTTACAGTAGGGCCGCTGCAGTGTTATCAAGTATTGTTTATTTGTTTGTGCAAGCTATACTTGAGACTATGCTTTCTTCTCAAGACACGAAGACAGAAGAGTGCTAAATACGTCTTGTAAGAGAGAGGGATAGGAATACATTGGGAAACATCAGAAAGACAGGAAGTAGGATATTTTTTTTCAAGATATGTGAAATGCTTCTGCTGTGTGAGCGTACTGCGAGACTCCCACCTGCAGTGCAGCCATGCTTCCAGCTACTGAGCCTCACAGGGATGTTTCCTTCAGTGTCAAGAGAGCTGTGTCTCTGAGAATCCAAAACACCAGATCACATATACCTCTTTGTTTACAGTTTCTATACACAACTGAAGGTAATAAAGGTACTACTGTAATATGGTTACAATACCATGGTGCTCCAAGATGATATGAAACATCATAGCCCATGTGGCAATGCATTTTTAGACAATACGGAGCGTTTTAACCTGTTGCTGGATGAACTTTTGTTTGACGTTTTTACATTTAACGAAAATAAAATAAAATAATGTTGTATGCCGTTCGGTTGACCGACGTTTGACTGCAAAATAGAGCTTATACTCTTTTCTGCGTTTTTACAGCTATTACACAAGTTTGTACTGGTGCTCTTCTAATCTCAGCCTTGCTACACTCAGGCTCACTGTCTGAATCTGCACAAACAGAAAGTGAAGCTAGCCACATGGGAGATGATGTTTTCTGTCATTCAAAAGAAAAAACTTAAGATCAAAGTCTGTGATGAGCTACTTTTTTCTAGTTTCATCATGAACAATGACGTTACTGTACAACTGTTAGTAAGCGTGGTCGCTGTAAAGGAGGGAGAGCGACCAGGCCGGGTAACTCTCCTCCTCGGCTTCCACCTCTCTAAACTGAATAACTGTCAGGTGCAAATACTCAACAATATGGTGCCGCTTCACAGAGTTCTTCTACCTTTTTATAGCAATTTTGTGCTGTTTTATCAACATTATCAAGCACTTTTATACGTACACTTTCTTTTTCTTTTAAAAACTTTTTTTTTTCTTGTGAATTGGTTTATTTTTCGTTTAGTTTAATGATGTGAACTGATCAATCCTCGTGTAATATTTTTTGTATACAGTAGGGCTGTGCCAATAGAAGTGAAAGAATGGATTTTTTTTATGTGAAACCATGTTATTTGACTCGGTGTACAGTAGATGGATTGTCATTTGTAACCTCCAACTCCTTTTCTCACCTTCCATCATCCATACTGTTTCGAAGCAGCGATACAGTATGTTGCCACGTAAATTGTCTGTTGCTATTAAGATTGTAAAAATGTAAGGCAGCGTCAAAAAGCTGTGTTTCCTGCTTTGTAAAAATATTTTGTCCCCTGTGAAGGACAGTAGGGCCGCTGCCATTTGCTCGATAAATTGTAGTCGTCACGTTGGCAAATTGTAAGCGCCGATCCAAATTATGGATTACACGCGCAAACTAAATTCTCTTGATTGTAATCCTTAAGCTAAACACAGAGGATTTAGGCTGCAGTTTGTCAAACAAAAGCCTGACACAGTGTTTGACACGGATGTCAGCACTCAAAGAGTAAAGAGTAAGAGCAGATGCTATCGCTTCTCTAAATCATATTTAAGATTTGAAATTTAATTTCTTAATGTAATTAATTTCTTAAGTGACCTTATTGCCATCCTTTTTGTCCATGCATGGTGGCTCAATATGAGCTCTCGTGCTTTGTATTTTATCAGATGTTATCCCCCTCTCCACCTTTAATACCTAACGTCATATTCATGGTTGTACATTCTGTACATAGAGTTTTCTGGTTGCTGTTTTCAATTTTTTTTCTTTTCTTTTTTTAATTACAAATGAGATGTACAAATATAATTCTTTGCTAATATATATCATCAAATAGAAAGAAAATCTTAGGTCGAAAATAAAAATCATTGACAAATTTCATTCAAAGCTTCAAGCATTAGATGTAGAGAGATTCCAACTCTGCTTTTTTTGTTTTTTTTGTTTTTTTATTTGTTTGTTTCAGTGAATCCAGATTGGATGTTTTGTGATCTTAACATTGACCTAAAGACAGCTTTAAGATTGACGGTCTAAACTTCACTGCACAGCCCTACACGGTGGTGTTTTTTTTTTAAACTTCTGTTTCTTTTTGTAAGACTTTAAAAGAGGGATTGTAGGCGTTTCCGATGGTGCTAAACATTTTACCTAATCAAGAAAAATGTGTTTGATTGGAAGACAAATAAACATGTCTTGACAATGACTGTTTTAAGTTCCTTGTAGTAATGAAAAATAACTATTATTTCACTCATATAAATATATTAACAAAGGCATTTTAACTTTGTACTTGAAAAAATAAGGATAACAAATAATGAAAGGTTTGCTATATTGTTTTAGACTAGAGATTGCTGTAGTCGGTGCTTATCTGTGGGAAAATTGTGTGAGAAAAAAAATGGTAATAACTTTTACTGTAGCATAATGTATGCTTAATGCGCATTGCTTCTTAATCCTACATTCCATGCCACAATATTCTCCATGTCTGTTTTCCGAATGTTGTTTTGAACTGACGCTTACTTGTTTCTTTGTTTTTAAAAAAAAGAAGAAAAAAAAAATCTGAAACAGCATTTCATTTTACTGGTCAAAGCAGGTCAATACTTCAGTGATACTGTTAACGCTCTTTGTGACTTTCTTTCTGTCATAACTGTTTTATGGCCTGTATGGTTTTCCTCAAGACCAGTTCATACAGCAGATGTAGCAGTCATTCTCTGCCCCATACCTTTGTTTAGTGTTCAAAGAGAAGATAAAGGCTTCGTATGTACTTGTGCTGGAGAACACTTGAATAAATGTATTGTTTTTGTGCAAAAAAAAATTCACCATGGGTCTTTCTTCTTTTTTTAAATGTATTGATATCTTGTAAAATGTATCTTTTGACGTTACACTAAGAAAATATATTTCAGATGTTCAGCATCAGAATTACGCCAGAACCAAATTAAGTGTTAGAGAAATATGTACCATCACCTTTTTTTTAAAGTTAGACCATTATCTGGCCAAAAACTGAAACTGACTGTGGCTAATAAATGACAAAGGTACTTTAAAATAATATCAGTGTCACATTACAGTCAAACCAGTAGATGTGTTTAGACTTTTAAGGTGTCCAAGTAAGTAAGGCACAGGCTGTTGGACATGACAGCCAAAGTGATTCAAAGTATGAATGATTTTTATTAACCAGACATGGCTTCATTGCTTCATTTGCTAGCACTTGAAGACACACAACACATTTTAGTCTTCCATTGTTATTATTTGTCCATTGTGCTAATTAGCTGAGTTTGAGAGCCAGTGATGTATTTATTGCCATATTAATGTGAAAATGGGCAGCTGAAATTACACGTTATGTCTGTGTCTATGATTATTATTATTATTGTGTGTCTTCAAGTTTTAGTATATAAACCAATGAAGCAAGCCAAGCTAAAGTGGCATGTCATCACAAAGTACCCAGCATTTTATCAGCTGAGGACTATAATTGGGTCCAATGGGTCCCCCCCCCCCAAGGGGTCCCTGCCCCCCAAAAGAACCTCTGAGATACATGATGCAATATCTAAATCAGTACTTTTGATTTAGTGGGAACTCCTTGTATATGAGGTGATTCCTATTATATTTTCAAGTCATATCTGCTGCAAATATTACTAAGAATGGTTCTGCATTAGTGAATTAATGTTATGATTTTCAGTATTTGTTCATTTGTAACTTAGTCTGTAATTAAGATATAGCCTACTATATCTTAATTATACTGAATAAAATGATAAAAGTATAAATCATAGTATATTATAATGTTGCATAATTAGGCAATTATAAGCTTGTGACTGTCAGCAGCCCGTGAACATTGATATTCAGCTCCAGTTTCCATGCTCCTCCAGCAGAGGATCTCTCAGTGTCTTGGCACCTGAGTTCACTACGACTCACTGCTTTAAATACAGGTGACAGCC